GGTGATCACTTAAAATGAAGGAGGGATACACAGCGTGAGGCGGGATAGACAGGAAACGGGAGTAGATGAGACTGTGCGCAAAGGAAAGAGAAGTGAGCAGCAGGCTGAGCCTGGAGGTTTGAGTCAACGCCAATGGTTGAAGGCTATGTAAGGGGAGAAGAAGACAAGGATGGAGGTAGAGAATATTGAAATTATGAGTTGTGAGTCCCATGAGCTGGCTCAGCTGTTAAAGTCCCTGCTGTGCAAGCCTGGTGGCCTAGGTTTGAGGCCTAGAACCCACGCAAAGGTGAGGGGAGAAGCAGCTCCTGTAAGTTGCCCTCAGGCCCTCACACATGCACTACAGCATGTGTGTATGTGCATGCGTGCTCACGTGCATATATGCATGCTTGCTCACGTGCATATATGCATGCTTGCTCACGTGCATATATGCATGCGTGCTCACGTGCATATATGCGTGCATGCTCACTTGCATATATGCATGCGTGCTCATATGCGTGCACACACGTACACACACAATAATAGGTAAGTAAATAAATAAATAGAAATAGTATCCCAGGCAGAGGACAGGGGAAGAAGGGGATGGTCTAGAGAGCTGAGTGGACCAGGACAAGTGATATCTGGACACATGGGAATCCTTCTGAGTTGGGCAGCCACGGTATTTCAGGAGTGGCTTTAGTGGGAGCAGACCCACATGACAGTGAGAGGACAGGGAAGGGAGCATTAGGTGTTGTCCACTCTCCTTGAAGCTTGACTGAGAATGGAAGAAAGAGCTAAGAGAAGCTAAGCCAAGGGAGTCTGGGCCGTAGGTTTGTTTTTGTTTGTTTGTTTGTTTTGTTTTTTAAGTTGGAAGAGGCACTGCTTATGCGCCCTTGTGAAACCCAGTGGGGAAGAGGTTGAAACTAGGGGAGAGGGGACCTTTGAGACCCAAGGACGTTATCCTGCAGAAGACCAAGTGGGTGGGGCATGAGAAGTCAGTTGTGCCCAGTAGGAGACCAGGTGGGGTAGAGTGGGGCTGAATACAAGTGTGGATGGATAGTGGGGGAAGAGGCGGAAGCTGGGGAGCTGTTGTCCATGGCCTTAGTTTTCTAACTTCACAGTGATGCCCGACTAAGGCAAATTTCAACATTCCGCTTGTCCCAGCTCAGGGCTGAAAATACAATCACCTTCTGGATTAAAAGTCTTAATCTGAGCTGCGGTATAGTTCTGTGATACAGTGTACATACATTGAGCTTTTTTTCTAGTGTCTTGTATCTGTAAAAACACTAGGGTATTGTTATCCCATCTCTGGACAAGGAAGCCTGTCTATCTTGCCCTGTTCCGGAAGTCACCCCCAGCCCCCCCGCCCTATGGGTCAAAAGTAACTTTTAAAGAGTTGTGGAAGGGTGGGGAGGTCAGCAGGTGAAGGGCAGACAGGCGCTTCGGGCTAGTCCATCTTTGGGGACCTGCCAAGTGCAATAGAAATCACAACCTCTCACAGCCAACCACGACTCTGGCCAGGGTCCTGACCTGTGTCTGCCAAATTCGAGAGGGTCCTAGAAGGGCACCTGAGCTGAAGGTGGACCTGTCTCCCATTTCGAGTTGAGTCCTATTTCAAGTTGAGTGGGACTTGCCACTCAAGGACTTAAGATGTGGCTTAGTAGAGCATATCCATAGCATGCACGAAGCCCTACTTTTCATGCCTGCTCTCTCTCTCTCTCTCTCTCTCTCTCTCTCTCTTTCTCTCACATACACACACACACACACACTTGTGACTAGACTAACCTAGGCGTGGTGGCACACACCTGTAATTACAGCACTAGGGAGGTAGAGGCAGGAAAATCAAGAGTTCAAAGTCGTTTTCAGCTATGTTTTTAGCCTGCCTAAGTTAGAGACAGATGGGGGTGGGGTTAAAAAAAAAGAGAGAGAGGGACACAAACACACAAGCTCTGTCAGAACCTTTCTACTGTTGTTTTCAACTCTGGGATCAAGAGGAATGAATGACATGCTGCATGGGTTTGTTACCCCCTGCGTGAAGCTGTCCTACAGAATGAATGATAGCTGGTATTTTTGTAAGACCATGAACTTCCCAATGTTGCTGAAGAACTGACTGCTCTCACACCCCCAACCACAGGCACACAGAGGATCTCCTGGAATGTTGTTTTATTTATTTTTTTTTTATTAAATAAACATTGCCCCACTGCAGACCAATGAAATCAGAACCAGTCGAGAGTGCGTGGGCTTTGGTAGCTGTGGACAGTCCCGCTGTGCTTCCCAGCTACAGCTTGAGGACCACGGGACAGACGAACCTGGTCATTACGTGTATTACATCAGTGCCTCCCAACTCTTTTCATGCATGGCTTCATACAGAAGCTACCAACCCCGGAGTCAGTGGCAGGCTCTCTGCACTAAAGGCATCTGACCTGAACTTCCTATCTGACTTCCTAAGGGCTGAGGATCAATATTTTGGCGGATCTATACCCAGGCACTGAGTTTCACCTGTTGTTGAACTTTGAGTAATTATAAAGTCTGCGAAGTAGAGCTGTGTTGTACACGTCTATTTTGCTGGGGGTTAATTGACGTGTCGTAAGCAGCATCTAGTTAAAGTGTACAACACACGTTTGGCATTTGAACGCACTGGTGAAATCACCACTACTGGCAAGATAATGAACGGGCTGGAGCCGTAGCTCAGGGGTAGAGTGCTTGCCCACCCAGCATGCACGGGCCATAGCTGTGATCTCTGCAGAAAGGGAGTGGTGGGGAGAAAAGTAAAAAAAAAAAAAAAAAAAAAGATAATGAGCATGTTCATTGCTCCCCAAAGCTCCTGTATAGCTCATGGTAAGGCTTCCCCTTCCTTCCCCAGATCAGCATCCATCTGTTTTTCCTCACAGTCGCTCAGTTTGCATCTTCAGAAATGTCCTATAAATGCAATGATCATATGCATACACTTTGTCTGGCAGGTTTTATTCCACAGAGTTAATCCGAGGCTCATCCGTGATTTTACACTTATCAATAATTCATTCATTTTCATTGCTAAGTAGCATTCAACCATATGTATGTAGATGGATCACTTTTTGCTTTGAGACAGGGTCTTATGCAGCTCAGGCTGGCCTTGAACTGTTTTGTTTTGTGTCTTTCAAGGCAGGGTTTTTCTGTGTAGCCCTGGCTGTCCTGGACCTCTCTCTGTAGACTAGGTTGCTCTCCAAAGATCCTCCTGCCTCTGCCTCTGGAGTTCTGAGATTAAAGTCATCCCTTACCATTGCCTGGCAGTCTCGATGTAGCTCAGATGGACCCTGAGCTTCTGATCTTTCTTCTGCCTCCTGAGTGCTGGGATCACAGGCGTGCGTCACCACACCTGGTTTTCTGGGTTTCTGGGGTCAAAGCCAGGGCTTTGTATATGCTAGATAAGCCCTTTACTATCTGAGCCTTAGTCCCTACCCAGATGTTGCACATTTTCAAAAGAATCATTCATCTGCTGATAGATATTTGGGTCATTTCTAGTTTGGAGATATTGTAAACACAGCTTCTGTGTTTACTGCGTGAGGGTTACTATTATTTACTTGCAGTGCTGAACAGTTGATTGATTGTAGTGCTGGGCACCAAACTCAGAACCTGTGCATGCAAGGCAAGCATCCTACTGATAGCTACTGCCTCAGCTCTGTATTTAAACACTGTGTACAAGGCTGTGCATCTGTGTATAGATGAGTCGTAGGTAGACACGTGTTTCCCTCTGTCAGAGCCTGCCTAGTTTCCAAGGTGACTCTGCCATTTTACATTCCTACTAGCTGTGTGTGAGTGAATGAGAGCTGGCCTCTTTCCTTTGCTAATTTTAACTTTGAGATTTATGTTTTTTTATTGTATGTGTGTATGACTGTTTTGCCTGGTGTATATATATGCACCACATATGTGTCTTCTGCCCTTGGAGAACAGAAGAGGACGTTGGATTACCTGGAACTGGAGTTACCAATGGTTGTGAACTACCATATGAGTGCTGAGAACTGAATCTGGGTCGTCCCCAAGAGCAGCCAGTGCTCTCAACCCCTTAGTCATCTGTCCAGCCCCTTTTTCGTTAACTTTTGTTTTGAAACATCTCCTATGTCACCCGGACTGGCTACAAGCTCCTGGTTTCTGCCTTTCACTCCTGAATGCTTGGATTATAGCATGTGCCACCATGCCTGGTTTGACTTTTTTCTGTGTGGTACTGGGGATCAAACCTAGGGCCTCACACCTACTTGGTAAATGTTCTGCCACTATGCCTTGTCACAAGAAGCCCTCCCCTTCTAATTAAAAGGTACTTAACTTTATTATTATTGTGTGCACATGTAATTGGAATATGTGTGAGTGTGTGTGCCAGGCCACAACGTGTGTGTGGAAGTCAGAGGACAACTTTCAGTACTTGGTTCTCTCTTTCCGTAGTGAATTCTGGTGATCAAACCCAGCTCAGCAGGATTGTTCTGGAAGTGCTTTTATTCCTAAACCATCTCACTGCCCCCAGCTACCATTCATTTTTGAAAAACATTTAGGCAGTGCTGGGAATGGAATCTAGGACTGCTGGACAGACACTCTGCCATCGAGTTCCACCCCTAGACAGCTGTCCTCTTTCCCTCAGGAGACCCTGCTTTCTACTTTTACTCTTGGCTGATGACATGATTCTGCTCATCTTTTGAATGATTCCTGAAAGTTGTCTCTGATCTTCCTGTGTGTCCATGGCATTCACACCCTTCCCTTACAACAAACAAATACTTGTTAAATCAACCAAGTACCTCACTCTTTCCTTGAAGCATGTGTGGTGGAAGTAAGGATAGGAATTAGGACCAGAGATGGAGACATGTTTAGAATGATGGCTGGATAGGGATAATAAAGTTGTCCTGGTGTCTCTTTTCTCTGTCTTTTTGTTCTTTGCTTCTGTTGCGGGCACTGAGGAAATGGGTACTGGCCTAGATCATGTCACCTATTGTCATAGTATCAGATTACTGATAAGTCTTGCTTTGTACCTAAGTTACATTTTTACCCCTTGCCCACAGGTCCCATGACAACATGTACCAGCCATACAGGCCTGACACTGGCAGGAAGTAGAAGGCTTCGTTGTCTCTTGTGCCCGCACCCTCATCATGTCTTCTACTCAGGGCAATGGGGAACACTGGAAGTCCCTGGAGTCCGTGGGCATCAGCCGCAAAGAACTGGCTATGGCTGAAGCCCTGCAGATGGAGTACGATGCTCTTTCTCGGCTCCGCCATCACAAGGAGGAGAACAGGGCTAAGCAGAACACAGAGCCCTCTCTTATCAGCTGGGATGAGCCCGCCTTGGACTTCTACAGCAAGCCAGCAGGCAGGCGGACAGACCTCAAGCTCTTGCGTGGTCTTTCTGGCTCTGACCCTACCCTGAATTACAACTCCATTGCCCCACAAGAAGAACCCCCCAACTCTACCTCCCAAGATCCCCAGCCCGGCCCAGATCCCTGGCCCAAGGGCTCCCTGCCTGGAGACTATCTCTATATTTTTGATGGCTCAGATGGGAGTCTCTCTTTGACTTCAGAATCAGGTGACACAGGTGGCTCAAGCAAGAAACTATCCCCACCTCCTCTGCCTCCTCGGGTCTCTATCTGGGATGCCCCTCCCTTGCCTCCCAGGAAGGGGTCCCCCTCACCCTCCAAGATTGCTCAGTCCACTGACATCAACAGTTTTGCTTTGGTGGAACAGCCACCTGACAAACTGTTAGGGCCCCAGGACGCAGAAGAGGAAGAGCTACCTGATGGTGGGGGACAGCGACACAGGCTGGGCTCTGTGGACTATGATGGCATCAATGATGCAATCACAAGGCTCAACTTGAAGTCAACGTATGACTCAGAGATATTGTCTGATGCCACCAGGGGCTGGAAGGAGGGCCGGGGCCCCCTGGACTTCAACAAAGACACCTCTGGAAAACCCGTGGCCCGGAGCAAGACGATGCCCCCTCAGGTGCCACCCCGAACCTATACTTCCCGATATGCCAACCGAAAAAATGTGACACCTGGCAAGAACCGCCGGATTTCTGCTGCTCCGGTGAGGACCTACTTTCTTGTGTGTTCGTTCAGAATGTGGGCTACGTTCTCTTTGCCATTCCAAATTCAGATCTGTCAAGCACTCACAGGCCCATTTTTAGTCCTGTCTTCTACTTCTGCCTTTAAAACCCTTTGGTGCTTGTGGGGGTTCAGAGGAAGCCAAGCTAGGCTTTCTTATTGGAGGTTGGGCCAAGAACATCAGGAAGGGTCTGGCTCCTTTCCTAGGCTAAGTTTCAGTGTCTTGGTTGAAACAGCCCTTCTGGAGGCAGGTGTTTTGGTATCGTGGCTGTTGATAGGTACTTCCTTCATGATGTAAGGACTGACTTAGGAGGCACCTGACTTAACATTGACTCTGTGGCTGAATGGTGGCAGTGGGACTTGAGCTGCTTCTTATTCCTGAGGCCCTGCCCTGCCATCCACTGCATAGCTGAGGCCCTGATGGTCATCTGTAGTGTTAGCTGTTGGTTCTATGCTCACAGAATACACCCTATCCAGATCCACATCAACCCTGTCCAATGTAAGAAATGGCAGAGCTGGTATTAGACCCTGTTCTTGTTCCAAAGTCTTTCTCCCTCTCACCTTCCCTTCCTCGCTGCTTTTGATTGTGATGCAACACTCACCTTCCACCATTTAAAGGCGTGTAGTTCAGTGGTGTTAAGTACAGTCACACTGTTGGGGTGTTTACTTTTGGTCATCTTTCCCCCCTGAAAATATCTAGAAAAAGGCCCAGCAGAATGATAGTAAGGGGGCTGGGCTGTGGTGGCGCAGGCCTTTAATCCCAGCACTCGTGAGGCAAAGGCAGGCGGATCTCTGGGAGTTCGAGGCCAGCCTGGTTTACAAGAGCTAGTTCCGGGATAGGCACCAAAGCTACAGAGAAACCCTGTCTCAAAAAAAAAAAAAAAAAAAAAAAAAGAATGCTAGTAAGGCTTTGGCTAATGAGTATACATTATAAAGTGCAAAGTCTACTCTTCAGCCCAGCTGGCTTCCACAGCAGCCTTGATATGGTTTTGGTCCATGGAGTGTCAGGAGTATCGCCAAAGGTGGGACCTGAAGGCCACCTTGCTTACCCTGACTTCTGGACATGTTGCTCCATGAGTCAGGAGGCTACTTCATAGCTACGGATTTCTGAAGCTACTTATGCCCCCTCATTCCGCCCTCCTCCCTCCTTACCATTCATTGTCTTAGTGTGCTGGACACTGAGGGGCTTTCCCACCTCGTGTCCAGCCTTAGGGATCACTTCCAACTCTGCATAGCTGCACGCTTCTTCCTTCCTCTGCATTTGCAGAGCGAGCCCCTCAGAGCCTAGTCCGGGTGAGCTGCAGCACCGGAGTTCAGGCTTTTTAAAGGCTCATCTCGGAGGTGGGGCTGCTCCTGCTATTTATAGGGATGGGGAGAGTCATGTCCTTAGCTCAGTTCCTCACACAGAGCCTGGCCTGCTCACAGAGGCAGGCAGCCTGGGGTAGGTGGTCACCCCTGTCTTCCCTCCCCCATCATGCATCATCGGAGTACCGAAATGGAGCCTGATCTGGTTCGGAGTCTCCTTGAAGAAGCAAGGGCGAAGCAAAAAGCTCTTGCCGGCTCTGGAGTGGGGGAGGCAACGCGGCAGTGGTCCTCCCCACTTCAGATGGGGGCGGGGGCTCAACCTGCTGGGAGGGGGAACCCCTTGAGCTCTGTGCCTATACCCCCACCCCGCCTTCGCCGGAAGGATCGTTCTCATCCCAGGCCCACTGAGCCATCTCTGGAAATGGCTAGCTCCAAATGCCAGCCTGATACCCCCGCTACCAGCCTCTGCCTGGCAGACTCCCCAGGCCAGCATCGAGTGATGCCACCAGGGCCTGCCAGCCGGGCAAACGTAAGTGCCTTTTGTTTTCTTACAGCGCCAGGGAGTGGTACAGAAGGGGCATGGAATGGCCTTCAGTGGCCATTCTGTTTTCTCCCTCTCCCTCTCTTCCTCTTCTCTCTCTCTCTGACTCTCTCGCATAGGTTGATTGCTGACAGTGGTACTATTGTTTGGACTGGGACACAGGCATACGCTTGGCAAAGCCAGGGCCTCACATGCCAACTGCCCTCACTGCTGCCTTCCCCTTTATGTGCTGCCGCCCCCACTCTACGCACCCCCAGGGGAGCATGACTGACCAGAGGGAGGGACACTTGAGGAAGCAGTCCGAGTATTCAGTGAGGAGCTGGGTTGCTACCTTCTGCCCTGAGGGACAGGGAGCTCATGAGAACAGCTGAGGGGGTGAAGAGAGGTGAGGTGGCACACACAAACCACAGCCTTAGAGACACCCCCTTTCCTCCCCAATGCAGCTGTTAGAGCCTGCTGTCTTTCCCAGATGCAGCCTGGAACTCCATGGAGCCAAAGTGTCATTCCTGGGTGGCTGCCCCGGGCAGGCCTGTGAGGCCTGTCGGTACCAGCTTTCTCCTTAGCTGTTCCTCCCTGGAGCTCATTGGAGGGTTTCCTGGGTGTTTGAGAGCACCCCTGGGATGGGAAATGGTATGGGACCTGGCTTAAGGATCTCAGCACCACATGTATGTTCTGGGAGAGGAAATGGGGCCAGTCCGAACAGGCTGCCTGGATCCCTAGCTGCTTAGAACCAGCAAAGCCTACAGGAGTCCAGCCAGGTCCTCTCCAGCGAAGATCCTGCTTTGATACATGTGTCTTCTTCCTGAGAAGGCACATGCGTCTGAATCATACCCACTCCTGAAGGGCTCAGTCTTTGAGTCTAGTGTCCGGGTCCTTGGATGTTGAGGCTTTTGTGTAAGTCCAGGCCTCACTGGGGACCATTTGGCTGATCACCTGCCTGGCCTACCTCAGCTCACCCATATGTCTCTGGAGCCTTCCCCGGAAGACCTTGCCCACTGGTGACCATCAGCACTTTGTTACACACTGACTGATCGGCCGCACTGGACTGGTCAGACATGTCCCCCTCGCAGAGCAGATTATGGCCACTCTTGTCCACTGCCCAGCGTCCATACTCATCCCAGGCTTCAGCTCCTTTTTCAGTTTAGTCTTTGGTGTCCTAGGTTGGCAGATAATGTATTTCAGGTTCCTTTCAATGTTAAGTCAAAAGTCCTGGGCTGGTGAGATGGCTCAGTGGTTAAGAGCACTGACTGCTCCTCCAGAGGACCCAGGTTCAATTCCCAGCACCCACATGGCAGCTGGCAGCTTTCTGTAGCTCCAGTTCAAGAGAATCTGACATCATTATACCAATGTGCATGAAATAAAGGCAAATAAAGTTTTAAAAAAAAAAAAAACAAAAGTCCTTATACATCTGGGAGGCCTTGCAAAGAAGGGGTGCCGTGAGAGAAAAAGCACTGAGTGAGTTGCTCTTCCCTTAAAGGTGGGCTCCCGGCCCCACACCACCGCCAATGGCCACGAACTGTTTGAGGTCTCAGAGGAGAGAGATGAGGAAGTTGCTGCGTTTTGCCACATGCTGGATATGTAAGAGTTGAAGGATGGGATGGGGGGAGAGGGAGGTGTGTATGGTGTGTACGTGTGTTCGTGTATGAGATGAGGGGAGGGGGATACATATGGTGTGTGAGTGAGTGAGTGGAGGATTCTGAGTCTCTGGAGGAGGCTGCCTGTTCCTCTAGAAAGGAGGAAGAGCTATAATGAATAAAATTCCACAGAGTGGGAATTCTTTTCCAGCAGGTGTCTGCAGGTTTTTATGAAACCTTAGAAGTTTGCTAGGTATATTGTGCACACCCCTAATCCAGCACTTGGGAAGCAGAGGCAGGCAGATCTCTATGACCTAGCCTGGACTACCTGACAAGTTCCTGGACAGCTAAGGCCATGTAGTGAAACTCTGTCTCAAAAGAAAAAAAAAATAGAATTTTGCACATTTTTAGTAAAATTCAGAAACCTTGATCAGCCTAACTAATCATCCCCCTCACTTCAGGTTCTGACCCTCAGCTGTCCTTAGGAGTAAACATACCTCTCAGGGAAGAAAAGATTTCTCTTGTACTGAAGAGAGAGGAAATGGATTGCTAACTACTTATTGATTAAATTCTGTTAAACTTAATATGAGAAACTCCTAGCTGGGCGATGGTGGCGCACGCCTTTAATCCCAGCACTCGGGAGGCAGAGGCAGGCAGATCTCTGTGAGTTCGAGACCAGCCTGGTCTACAGAGCTAGTTCCAGGACAGTCTCCAAAGCCACAGAGAAACCCTGTCTCGAAAAACCAAAAAAAAAAAAGAAACTCCTTTGGGAGTTCTTGCTACCATTCTAAGACTGTGGGGATTGTTTCACAACTGTAGCAAGATGGTAAGAGTACAGCTTCTCAGGGCTGCTTCTCCCCTGCCCCAGCCTGGCCCATGGAGGAGACAGGAAAGCCCTTGGGCCTTAGGGTCACAGGGCCCCTCATCAGGATTCTTTGAAGACACAGCATGAGTCCTCTCTTTCTTCCTATACAGCCTTCGGACAGGCTCTGATATCCAGGACTATTCCCTAACTGGATATGTCTGGAGCACTGTCACCCCGAGTCCAGAGCATCTTGGGGATGAGGTCAACCTGAAGGTGACTGTGTTGTGTGAGAGTCTTCGGGAGCCGCTCACTTTTACCTGCAACTGTAAGTTAGCTGGGGATATGTGAGTGTCCCTGGAGGTGAGGCGGGAGAGCTGGGTGTTGATTCAGAGATCATTACACAGAGATTTACATTAATTATAAACTGATAGGCTTAGTATCTCAGGCTTCTTATTAACTCATAATTCTTGTCTGTGTTAGCCTCGTGGCTTGGTACCTTTTTTGGCTCTACAGTCACATCTTGCTTGTTCTGTGTCTGGGTGACTACTGCAGACTGACGCTTTCCTGTTCCCAGGATTCTTCTGTTCTCCTTGCCCCGCCTATACTTCCTGCCTGACTATTGGCCAATCAGCATTTATTTAAAATACAAGTGACAGGGTACAAACCATTGTCCCACAGCAGCTCTCCCCTTTTTAAAAAAACAAAACAAAACAAAACAGGAACTCTGAATCAAATCTCCTTTGGTTAGCTGTTTTCCTGACCATTATCCATAACAACTTGTAACCAACACTCTAAACAAAGAAAAACACCCATAATCCATTTTTGGGAATGCGGGTGTAGTTTTCCAGGCTATTTCTTGCCGATTGGGGGCATTCATAATCTTATGGGGACCTAAAGAAAACTTAGAATTATGGTCAAGTCCTGACTGGAATATCCTGCGAGGCTTGATCATCTCAGCCAGCAGTCATGAAACTGTTCTAGATGCAGAACTCAGAGGAAACTCCAACAGAGGTCCTCTGAAATGTTGGATCATCTGGACCATCTGCTCCTTTTGGAGATTCTTCAGGGGGTTTTCATTGATCAAATCTGATTTTTCTTAGCCCGGAATGAACCCACAGTTTCTCATTTCCTGTGGAAACAAAAGCAAAACCTCTTCTCCAAAGTAACATACCTTTTGACTTAAATTTTGAAATCAAGGCATTTTCAAAATATATATGTTGTATTAATCTAGCAACATTTATAATCAATTATCTTTTAGCAGTTTTTGCTCCTTCCTCAGCTGTCAAGCAATTCAAAGACAACATAATATTATATAGTATCTGACTTTCTGCATATTTTTCATCTTTATGTGGCTTTATTTTAAACTCTATTTCTGATATTTTTATTTTTAATTTTTGGCTTTTTGAGACAGGACTTCTCTGTGTATCTTTGGCTGTCCTGGTACTCACTCTGTAGACCAGGCTGTTTTTTAACTCTGCCTGCCTCTGCCTCCCAAGTGCTGGGATTAAAGATGTGTGCCACCACACCCAACTACTCTGTTTTTTTCTTTTTTTCTTTTAAGAACTTTATCCTCTTTTTTTCCCTCTCCCCCAAGCCTACATTATATTTTTAAACACACAGTAAACCATTTAGAGGTTCCTTCATCTTTGAATCTATCTTTACTGTGTATATCTCTTTTTCTGACTACATGAGTCTTTAATTTGCTAAACGATATGATTAGGATTAAAGCCGTGGCTTTGACGGTTGGATCCAGCCCATTTCTTAGCCTTTTTCTGAGAGTCTAGTCTCATGGCAGAGGTACTGGCCAGAGCCATGTTTATTAACACAACTCTATGGAGTTTTAAGGTTCCTGACACCACCAAGAAGCATGCTCTCAGCTATTCATAAACACCATTTAAGTGTTTGGTGGCATGGCCTCTTAAAAGAGTTGCAAAGTTTCTCAGCTAAAGTTGAGTCAGGAAGCCTCTCTTAAATGAGATGTACTTGCCTCTAGCAAAGAGAGCAAACCCAAGAAATTGCTGCTACCAAGAAGCCATGTTTAACGCTGTTATTTTGTGTGTAGAATTACTTCCCAAGCTCTCTCAGGTTTTCTGTGGATGCAGTTGTCCACACGTTGGGCACCATTTGTTGAAAGAGATTTCTGTCCCACTAGGTCCCAAATAAACACACAGAGATCTATATTAATCATAAACTGGTTGGCCTAGAGGCTCAGGCTTCTTATTAATTAATTCTTACATCTTACATTAACCCATTATTCTTGCCTGTGTTAGCCATGTGGCTTGGTACCTTTTTTGGTGAGACAGTCACATCTTGCATCCTCCGTGTCTGGGTGACGACTGCAGACTGTCTTTCCTGTTCCCAGAATTCTCCTGTTCTCTTTTCCCCGCCTCTACATCCTGCCTGGTTGCCCCACCTATACTCCCTGCCTGGCTACTGGCCAATCAGCATTTTATTAAAATACAATTGACAGGGTACAGACCTTTGTCCCACAGCAACTGGGTTTTGACCTGGGGAGTCCTTTAGCTTTGATTCTCATCTCACTCACTCTATAGCCTGAATGAGGGGCAGAGGGGATGCTTCTCCTGGGGGCGGGCAGTAACTTTCCCCACCCCAGGCTGTTTGTTTGCCTGTCTTATCTGGCTATTGGTAGAGATACTACAGATGGCATAGCTGGTGATAAAGGATCAAAGTTGGGAGGCTCTGTCCCACCTGCCCAATGTCACTGCCCTCGCTCTTCTGCCTTGCTGCTTACAGGTTCCTCCACTGTGGACTTGCTCATCTACCAGACCCTCTGCTACACCCATGATGAACTGAAGGAAGTGGACGTGGGGGACTTTGTGCTCAAGCCCTGCGGGCTGGAGGAATTCCTGCAAAAGTGAGTGAGTGGATTAAGGGACATGTGACAGAGGTAACACCTGCCTTCTGGCTAGGAGAATGAGGGAGGTCCTTAGCGACCTGCACTAGCTTCAGCATTTGCTGCTGCTCTTCCCTAACCCTGCAGCCAGGACTCCTGCTTTCTGGGCACAATCTCAGCCACGTCGCATTTTCCCTAGGAGCTCCATCTTCCAGCTGGGTTGGCTGGAGCCTGAGCAAATCTGCTGTGGAAAGAGCTTGGAGCTGGGATAAAGCAAAGATGAGGTCGTATCTGTGTGCAGGTTTCTGGTTGCTGAGAGAGATGTGTGTTGTTTGTGGAGGGGCAGTGGCAGGTTGCTTTCCCTGCTCTAAAGGACACGCAACTGCTGGGCAGAAATGCCCGTAGAGAACCAAAGGGAGAAATTACAGTGGCTCTTGCTGGCTTTCCCTTGCCATCATGCCTTTGTTTCCACTGGCCTGCACAGCTGGTTAACCTCTTCCTAGGCTGGCTTCCAGCTCCCTCCAGGCCAGTGCCCGCTACAGAAGGCAGCTTCTCTGGAAAGTGTGATGTGGGACCAGCTGAGAGAAGTTCTCTGCACTACCCTGGACTGTGGAAAACTGGGGTGGGGTAGTCAGGGCTCCCACTCCCAGGGGTAGCATGTGGCAGCAAGCATCAGAAGATCTGCTTTCCTCCATCCAAGCTCTTGTGTGGTGACTGCACCGTCTGTGGCCCCCTTAGAGGGGAAAGCAGAACTTGGGGAGACAGAAAGACAAGGCCTGTATCCCTTGCGTTTGCAGTTTCTGTGAACCGTGGGACTCTGTGGAGCTGCGTATTTTCCCTCCAGCAAATCTAGATGGAAGCATAGTTTTCTTTGGTTAGAGCACAAGATTGATAGGACTAAAGATTCATTTTTTTAAAAATATTCATTTCTTAAATGTGATTTCTTCAGCACTGGGGATAGTAGGTACTCTCTGGCCTCTGCAACCCCATCTAGAAGCTAAGGGAAAAGAAGCAGGCCCCCTGATATAGTTCCAGGGTACCCTCAACGGTGTAAGAAGCAGGCCCGTCCTGATATAATTCCAAGGAACACTCAGCCGTGTTCTACATTGTGTTCATTGTGTCTTTGCCTTCCTACACAGGCAGGGAGGGGTTCTAGATACAGGGTATCCTGGAAACTCTAGCCATGAGCAGCTTGTCATTGTTCGGAGGGAACAGGGCTATAGTGTGAGTAAATCAGACCCCAGGGAACACTGTTTATACTAAATTCTGGTTTTCCACTGACCAGTTGTGAAGCCTGCTTCTCAGTGTCTTCTGTAAAGAGTGGCCAAGTTTTAGGTTGGGGGTGTAGTTCACTGGTGGTAGAGGTGAAGCCCTGGGTTCCATCTGTGCAGCATACATGCACACCTGCCCCCCAAACACAGACCTACACACACACACACACACACACACACACACACAAACACCTGGGTTCCATCTGTGCAGCATACACACACACCTGCACACACACACACACACAAACACCTGGGTTCCATCTGTGCAGCATACACACACACCTGCACACACACACACACACACAAACACCTGGGTTCCATCTATGCAGCATACACATACACTTGCACACACACACACACACACAAACACCTGGGTTCCATCTGTGCAGCATACACACACACCTGCACACACACACGCACGCACACACACACACACACACACAGGATGAGGGTTAGTGCGAGGACCTGATGAACAGTCAGTGGATACCAGCGGCCAGGGACCAGCCCCAGAAGAGGATCCCTGGGGCTCTGAAAACACAGACTTCTAATACTGGAGCCCCAAGTGCAACGGTACTGGGAGATGTCAAGTGAAATACTCCCCATGAGCTGAGACCAGGTCATGGTCGTGTCCTCCACCCCTCCCCCAATGTGTGTGTACAGCTGAAGCCCTTTCACCGACAAGTTGAAGGAAGTCACTGGGGACATGACACCTTGGTTCTACCCATCCACCCTGCATAAAAGCCTAGCGCTGGTTCCTGGGTGGAAAGGACCAGAAAATCGCTAGTTCCCAAGGAAGCCCTGAGGATTGTTTCCCTCGCCTCCCTGGAAGGGCCGATACGAGGGGAGTGTTGCTCCAGGATGCAGGCAGCTCTGTGATAAGAACCTTGAGACAGTCCTAGGGGAGGTTCGGTTTCCTGCGGCGGCCCTCCCCCTCTCTCCACCACTGCACTCAGTCTTCCTTCCTCACAGACCCTCCTGTGGGCCTGCCTGACGGTCCAGCCTCCCCATGGCCATGGTTCAGTTTTACTTTAATCTTAGCCAATCAGAACACATTTTTCAGGTCTGGTCCCCCCAGGATGTGGAAAACCTCAAAGTCTAGGCTGGTTTTGTTTGGCCTGTGGCCCTGTACTTCCAGAGGTTTCTGCACCCCTCTTCCCTTTTGCTCCCCTCCGTTCCTCTCCATTCTAGCCCAGATTCCCATCTCTGCAGAGGAAGGAAGGCCGTTTCCGCCTTCTGTTCCCCAGATGCTGTTGCTTGGCCCAGCCTGCAGCAGTGGCCTCGAGTGGGGCTTGTTCAGCCCTTTCTTGTGGGTTTCCTTTCTGATTAAGGTGTGATTTCGGGGAGAGGAAGAGGTTGGGTGGCGGAGGAACTCGGCAAGCTGCCTCTTCTGAACCACGGCTCTACTGTGTGGGTGCTGAGCAGCTAGAACTGCACGTATCTTTTAGAAACTGCGAAGACTTACAGGGGACTCATAATCTGGCAGGGCATGGAGGGAGGGGAGGAGTGGAACCCGCTTCAGGATAACGGTTCTGGAATTCTGGTGGGATTGCCTCATTTGTCCTCAACACCTTGGTAGGTAACACACAAAGGAGACTGGACGCCAGAGTCTGTGTCCCAGCCCATTTCTCCTCGGTTGTCAAAGTCAAGAAAATAGGGTTTAAAGAGCTGCCCCCTAACAAGCCCCCTCTATAACCCAACTCTGTAGTGGTTCCCGTCCTGAGAATGAACCGTGAGTCATTATTTGGGTAGCTCATGGTTAAGTGTGGTGGGCAACTTTTATTCAGATAAACCCCATGCCTTTCCTATGCTTTACCATGGCATTTGCAGGAGTAAAGGAGAAGCCCTCTTCCTTCCTCCCTCTCTTCCGTTCTCCCGCCCTTCCTTCCTAGTTGTCTCTCCCCAGGCTAATGTGTCTCTCCTCCCGCTGAGTCCCTCAGGCACTAATCATCTTGTCTCCCTACCCCAACAGTAAGCATGCCTTGGGCAGCCATGAATATATCCAATATTGCCGCAAGTTTGACATCAACATCCGACTGCAGCTGATGGAGCAGAAGGCCATGCGGAGTGACCTGGCCCGGACGGTATGTGCTGGAAATGGCCCATGACTGTACATACCTGGGGAGGAAGAGTGTACACAGGATACAGGACATCAGGTGGGAGCAGGGCAGTCAGGCTAGGTTGGGGAAAGGGCCTTGTTCCTGCCTGACGAGGACACTGCCCGCTCCTCAGGTGAACGACGATCAGAGCCCTTCCACCTTGAACTACCTCATCCATCTCCAAGAGAGACCAGTCAAGCAGACCATCAGCAGGTGAGCGTGGGGACCACCGGGTGTAGTTTCAGCAGGAACTGCGAGGGAATGGTGCAGATGCGTTTGCCTGGCTTCCTGCTGGCATCATAGGTTCTTGTAAACATCCGGTATGTTGGCCCAAGAAACTTGCTAGGAATGTCTTTAGTCCACTCTTCCTCTTCTCTCTCCCCGAGCGGTGGTTCTCGGCCTTCCTGATGCTGCGGCCCTTTAATACAGTTCCTCATGGTGTGCTGACCCCAGCACATTGTAAATACATTACACTCCTGCCATTTCATAACTGTACTTCTGCTGCTGTTAAGAATTGTCATGTAAAGCCGGGCGGTGGTGGTGCACGCCTTTAATCCCAGCACTCGGGAGGCAAAGGCAGGCGGATCTCTGTGAGTTCGAGACCAGCCTGGTTTACAAGAGCTAGTTCCAGGACAGGCTCCAAAACCACAGAGAAACCCTGTCTCAAAAAAACCAAAAAAAAAGAATTGTCATGTAAATTTCTGATATGTGACCCCGCAGGTTGGGAACCACCACACTAGCGCTTTTCCTGTCCCTTTCTAGGTGAGAGGTAGCAAAGTGGAAAAGACCCCTTTTCTGTCCTCTTGGGGCACAGGAAGAGTGGGAACTCCTTCACCACATCAGAGTCAGGAGATGGGAGGGAAAGTGTGAGCCTCCTGGGGCAGCCACTCTTTTGTGATCTCGCCTGTGATTTTTCTCACCCCACTCCCCCAGGCAGGCCTTGAGTCTTCTGTTTGACACGTACCATAACGAGGTGGACGCCTTCCTGCTGGCTGATGTGAGTCCACACCCTGGGGTTGAAGAGAGGAGCTACTGGACGTTCCCTTCTTCCCTAGTTTCCTGCAACCCAATGACAGTCTGTCAGTGATGCTTTCTTTCACCCCTTAGTTCTGAGCAAGTGAAACACCTCCTGGCTGAGGGGCAGCTGGCAAGTGTGTCAAAGGTGTTCTGCCCCTCTGTGAAAGTCAAGAGGTGGACTCTAATGGCTGTCTCTGGAGTAGAGCACCCCTGAACTAATGGTGTGGTCCCAGGCTTTTTGTTGTTTTTCTGTGAAGAATGCCCAGGGATACCGTCTGAAGAGGCTCTGTTGAGCCTGCAGCCCAGACTTCACACCCTCAGGGAAGCAGCAAGTCCCAAGGCTTGATCCTTTCCCTCCTGGACCTGCACGGACTGCAGGCCTCGGAGCCGCTTACACAAATATCATGAATCTAAAGCAAAGTTTTAGAAGTCGTCTTCAAAAATCAAATCCTCTACCAGGCATGGCGCACAGGGCTTTAATCCCAGCACTTGGCAGGCAGAAGCAAGCAGATCTCTCTGAGTTCCAGGCCAGTCAGAGCTATATAGCCAGACCCGGTCTCAAAAAAACAAAGCAAAATAACAACCATGCCTCCTCAGTTCGGTTTTGTCTTGGATTCTTCTCTCTGGGGCAGTATGTCTAGTTCACCCTCCACCCACTGTTACGATCCACTTTGTAGCAGCCTCTACAATAACACAGGCATTGAGATCTTAGACCACTTTGCAGTGTTCTGTGTTAGTATAGGGGGTGGGTAGAGCCACTGTGCAGAGTGTAAGACTTGTTTTGGCCTCAGGGAGCTGGCGTGGTTAGGGAAATAAAAGGAAGGTTCATCCAACGCGCGCTATTCGATAGAGGATGACTGTGGATGTTGGGAGCGGAAAGCTTTGCAAAGGAGTAGGTGTCCTGGTCCCTAATTTGAGTTGACATAAGCAGTCAAAGCCAGACAGAGTCAGAGATTTCAGCTGAGAAAATACCCAGTGTGGAGGGGAGGGAAGAGTGTGGCGTGTCTATGGTGTGTCTATGACATCAGCTATCCTGTGGCGAGTTAAGAAGTCTGAGAGAGTAAGTGGGGCTTCAGAATGTTTCGCCCACCTCCTTGCTATTCCCTGCCAATTGATTTAACACTGTAGGCCTCTGGTGGAGACCTGTGTGTGTTTGTATAGCAGAAATAGACCATCACTGCAGACTGGAAATAAAAGTTTTAGTGGTGTGGCTGACAGGCTAGGGAGTGTGGATGTGGCCCACTCAAAGCAAGAGACTGAATACCTGAAAATAAAGTATGGTTCATGGAATTCCTCCTTGGAGTCATTAGCCCCTGCACATGCTTTAAGACTGGGTTGTGGGGAGGCATAGAACTGAATCATGTGTCTTATTGTTCGGCCTCCCGCAGGGGGATTTCCCACTGAAGGCGGACAGGGTAGTCCAGTCTGTCAAGGCCATCTGCAATGCCCTGGCCGCCGTGGAGACTCCTGAGATCACCAGCGCTCTCAACCAGCTGCCTCCCTGCCCCTCACGCATGCAGCCAAAGATCCAGAAGGTAAAGGGACCCAGGTGTTAGCGTGAACCAGGGACGGGGATGTCCACAGGTAACTGAGTTTCTGATTACCATGTTGGGCGTCATTCTGTAGAAGGAGCTGTGGGCAGCGTTCCTGCCAACAGCTCCCGGCTGCCTGGCTAGCTTATGCCCTAAAATAACAATACACAAACTGTATTCATATAAACACTGCTTGGCCCATTAGCTCCAGCCTCCTACTGGCCAACTCTTACATCCTTATCAACCCACCTCCATTAATGTGTGTAGCACCGTGAGGAGGTGACCCTCCAGGAAGATTCTAGCGTACGTCCATCTTGGGCTAGAGCTTCATTGTGTCTGCCCTGGAGAGGAGAGGCATGGTATCTGCCTAACTTCCCTTCTTCCCAGCATTCTGTTCTGTTTACTCCACCCACCTATGTTCTAACCTATCAGGCCAAGCCGTTTCTTTATTAATTAACCAATGAAAGCAACAGATTGATATATGACACTCCCACATCATTTCCCCTTTTTCTGTTTAAACAAAAAAAAAAGAACTTGGTATTCATTTACTAAAATGCTCTTCTAGCAGAGCGCCTCCGCCTTTAATCTTAGCATTTGAGAAGTAGAGACAGGTGGAGCTCTGTGAGTTTGAGGCTAGTCTGGTCTACACAGTGAGTTCCAGGACAGTTTGGGTTACATAGTGAGGCCCTGTCTCAAAACAAACAAACAAATGAGGTTCTTCACTACCCTTTATGTGTTAGCAGTTCAGACACAAGAGCCCCTGGGAAATGGATGTGATGCACGTCCCCCCCTCCTTAAGCATAGGGGGTGGTCTAGCTTCAGTCTCATGGGAATAACCACATGAGCCAAGAAAGTTTTTATTTAGTCACCGAGGATTTGCCTGACAGTTTGCTTATCTATGAGGGTGCAAAACCAAGTCAGGGGGCAGACATCCCAAGAGCCAGGAGTTCAGTGGTTCCATAGGGGGCTGCTGTTCTGTAAAGGCTTGCTAGCACTACAGACCCTGTATCCCAGCCTTGGGGCTCTTTCCTTGAGGTGAGCATGATTATTATTATTTTTTATCTGCTCCCTCTGTCCACCCTGTGGACCGTCCCTCCCTCCCACTCCCCGGGGACTCTCTGCTCCTCATATTTCAACCCTGCCTGGCCCAGATGAGCACAGCTGTGAAAAGCCCTTCCAACTGCAATAAAAATGGGCAGGCGTGGGCTCTGCCTGACTCTCCCCCTCTCCCTTTCCCCAACAGGATCCCAGCGTGCTGGCTGTGAGGGAAAACCGAGGTAAGGGCAGTGTTCTCCCTCTTTGTCCCACAGAGGCTGGAACTGCCAGCTAGTGGTTCAGCTCACATTCTTCTTCCTGCTTGGCCCCTTGATGTGTGTGTGTGTGTGTGTGTGTGTGTGTGTGTGTGTTTCCCTGTGAGGTGTGTACACAGCTGGAGCCCATATTTCTTTCCACAGATTTTTTTCCCCATTATTTTTGCTAATCAGTCCTTATGGTGTTACTGGGAGAGGGTGATGAGGTGGGTAGGGGCATCAGCAAGGATGAATTTATCCTTCCATCCAGATGGAAAAGGATGGAAAAGCTTGCCTTGCTGGGTTGTGATTCTTCTCCTGGCAGCCATAACCCTTTACACTTCCAAATTAGAATGGGACTTGGGAGGAAGGATTTTTCTGCAGGATTTTTTTCCTTGCTACACTCTTTAAGCAGATCCTCGTCCTGAAAACCAGTGTCGCTGGCTTTCTCTTATTCTTTCTTCCTTCCTTGCTTTTTCCTTCCTTACTTTTTTGCAAATCTTACTTTATTTTTCCTTTTAATTTTTCATTTTATATTTAATGTACATTGGTGTTTTGCTTGCATGTATGCCTGTGTGAGGATGTCTGGTCCTGGAATTGGAGTTACCGATAGTTGTGAGCTGTCGTGTGGTTGCTGGGAATTGAACCTGGGTTCTTTGTCTTATTAGTGCTCTTACCACTGAGCCATCTCTCCAGCCCCGTCACTGGCTTTCTTAAAAGTGAATCCATCTTTGGTATTCACAGATGAATAAATTGTCCCCTAAAGTCTTCTAGGAGCTAACATAGCATTTCCAGCTTTGTGTGTGTGTGTCTGTGTGCCTGTGTGTGCGTATGTGTGTGTTTGTGTGTGTGCGTGTGTGTCTGTGTGTCTGTGTATGTGTCTATGTCTGTGTGTCTCTGTGTGTCTGTGTGTTTGTGTCTGTGTGTGTATCTGTGTGTGTGTGTCTGTGTGCCTGTGTGTGCGTATGTGTGTGTTTGTGTGTGTGCGTGTGTGTCTGTGTGTCTGTGTATGTGTCTATGTCTGTGTGTCTCTGTGTGTCTGTGTGTTTGTGTCTGTGTGTGTATCTGTGTGTGTGTGTCTGTGTGTGTATATCTCTGTGTGTGTACATCTGCACATACATGGTACTAAGTAGGGATTAAACATTTGTTAAACATTGTTTTTTTGTTTTTTTCAAGAAAAGACTTTTTAAAAAAGGATGTATTTTTATTTTATATATACGGGTATTTTGCCTGCGTATGCCTAATACTCACAGAAGACAGAAAAGGGTGTTGGACCCCCTGGAACTGGAGTGCTGCCAGTATGGGTGCTGGGAATCAAACCCAAGTCCTCTAGAAGGACAGTCAGTTCTCTTAGCCATTGCGCCATCTCTCTAGTGCCAGAAAGCGGCTTTTTAAAAATAACATTTTAGCACCACATTAAGTATCTATCTAAGATAGGACCACATTTAAAGCTGGGAATCTCTTGATGAAGTACGTGCTCAGGCATGCTTCTGCATCTTTCCTTTTTCTCCGCAGATGGGTAAGCTTTGTCACTGCTATTAGAAATTGCCTGGCATTTGGGGATCACTGTCCCAAGCTGTCCTATACTCCTGGTGTCATGACAACAAAATGGCCCTTGGCGAGTCCTAATTGAGTTTCCTTTCTGGCCCCTCCCCTTCACAGAGAAGGTGGTAGAAGCCTTGACAGCAGCCATCTTGGACTTGGTGGAGCTGTACTGCAATACATTCAATGCAGACTTCCAGACCGCCATGCCCGGGAGTCGGAAGCATGATTTGGTTCAAGAGGCCTGTCATTTCCCTGGGGCCCTGGCCTTCACTGTCTATGCCACTCATCGCATTCCCATCATCTGGGCCACCAGGTGAGTCAGAGCTCGGTGAGACAGATGAGCGTCTCCCCTTCTGCCCATGACCTTACTGTCCTCCATCCTAGGAGGTGTGGCATTCTGGTGCAACAGGGCTAAGAGGGTGAGCCTAGGGCCTGAGAGGAGCCCAGCCTGTATCCATCCCAGAGAGAGAAAGTCCCCTAGGAGACAGATAAGCACCTGCCAGTCCCCCAGTGCTGGCCGCCTCAACATCTCTTCCCTCTTCAGATCCCAAGCCAGCTGAGGGAGACAGGCGACAGATGGCCGGTTCCCAGATAGAGTGTGGCCCAAGCCAATGGCAGCACTCGCCTGCAGATGCACAATGAGGGTGGCAGGGAGGGGGTGACCCTTTGTCTGGGGTTCCCTTGCAGGGGTGGGTGGAGGAGGGCGTTCTTTTGGTAGTCCTCGGCTCTTCTGCTGGATCCCCAGAGTCCTGAGGCCTGGGGGAATAGGCATTTGGCCCCAACCCACCCTTACCAACTCCACCCCCTCCCCTCCCTTCCCCTTCTTTCTTTGTTTCTCACTTAATGTATTCCTCTGGGCGATTGGCATAGAACAAAGGAAGCAGCCTGGGAAACAGGGGCCTTCTCTGACCTCTTCTGTCAGGCACCTGTCATGAGCCACAGGGACCCCCATGTGTCGGCATTCATGGTAGCATATGCCGTTTTCCTCCCCCACCCCTTGCCTGCATGTATGTATGTATATATGTATACATATGTGTGTATATATGTATGTATATAAATATATATATATACACATATATGTACACACCCACATATACCCATGTGTGCCCGTGTGCTTCCCGTGATGGACTGGAACTGACTAAGGAGGCGGCTAGATGGCCGGTCCCATGAAATGAAGAAAAACTCCTGTGCTCAGCATGGGTCTAAGACTCTGGGGATCTAGGGATCCAGATAAAGTTGCTGCTCCTAAGCACACTTCCTTAAGCCCAGCTTGGTTGTCCTGACCCTGACCCCGTGTTGCATTCTCCAGGGACCAATAGAAATCTACCAGAGGAAATGGAGCTTGGCTAATATTAGGGTGCATGAGATTGGTTTTAAGGGCAAGGTGTACCGACCTGCTCCTGTTCTTTTGTAGCTATGAAGAGTTCTACCTCTCCTGTTCCCTCAGCCATGGAGGCAAGGAACTGTGCAGCCCCCTGCAGACCCGACGGGCTCACTTCTCCAAGTACCTGTTCCATCTCATCATCTGGGACCAGCAGTAAGCTCTCCCTAAGCTCCAGACCAACCTGCTCACTTCAGGAAGATTCTGGGGCAGGAGTCAGACCTAGAACAGAGCACAGCCTGGGTTAAATCTGGTTCCATAACTGCCCTTATCCAGACAGGTCATGATGTTTCTTGAGTCTCCAGTTCCCTGACTCTTAAATGGGACAAGCATGTAATTTCTACCTCTCAAGTTGTTAGGAACATCCAATGGGAAGCACCCATAAAGGCTCTTAAAGACTCCTTATAATCTGCAAAGGATCATATAAATATTGCTGCTGATTTTAAAAACACTTTATTGTTTTGCTCTTGCCTCTCTTAAAAAATTTAACTGGTCTGTAGGATTTCTATTCTCTCCCTTCCTCCAATATTCTCTGGACTAGGCAGAAAGGCTAAGGTATAGCTCAACTAGAGTGTTTGACTAGCATATGCCAGGCCCTGGGTTTCGGCCCTAGACAGCATAACACTGGCAAACAAAACCACACCCAGAATCTTAGCACTTGGCAAGAGGCGAGAGCATTGCCGTAACCTTGAGGCCAACCTGGGCCACGTAGCTAAGTTCTAGGCCAACCAGGAGATCCCATCTCTATCCACACCCAAAAAGAATTGGGCAGAACAGGGTAATTGCCTAGAGGGAGGAAGAATGGGTATAGAACCGAGGAGTAAGGCTCTGTTTCCAACTCTCTCTAATCCTGTCCGCCTCAGCTCCTCAAATTGAGAAATGAGAACACCTTTCTGACCTGGAGGCAGGTGTGGTACTGAAGGGAGACAGGCAGGTTGTAATTATGATAACCACTGATATAAGATGGTATCAATTACCATTTATTAACAATGATTTGATTTCATGAAAGAAATAAGGGGTGAGGGGACCTTGAAGGTGGCATCACAGGTATCTGTCTCCCAGTACCTTGCCTGTGATGTTTGCTGCTCCCCCAACCACCACCCCAGCTTCACTTCCCCAGGCCCACCGTATCTGTGTCCCCATTTGCAAAGCAGCAAATGCAATTTAAAAGTGTTGCAGATTACAGAGACAGAGGAGTGTCCCTGGGGAGGTCAAGGATGCTTCAATAGGTAGATGAAGGGTCTGGATATTTAAGAGACTGACTAGAGGGCAGGCAGACCTGTTCATCACACTTAGGTCATTTTTAGATCAGTAACCACTGACAGACAGGGTAGGAGAAACTCCCCGGAGACTAGGTAGCTGCTTTAAGTAGTCCCTGAGAAGCAGAGCATGGTGCTCAGATCTGTAAGATGAGCATTCAGGAAGCTGAGGCCGAGCTGCTGTGAATTTGAGGCCAGCCTATGTATAGTGAGATCTGTCTCAGTGGGACCCTGGCTTCAGTGCAACACTGCCAAAGTAAAGAGCCTTTGAGTTTCAATATCCCACTGAGATTCTCCACCTCACTAAATATGCCGTCTAGAGGGGGATGCTGAGGACCAGTCCCTGATGGAGTCAGAGGTACGGATGCGACCCAGTTTTCCACACTGGTCATCTTCCACGCAAAGTGTGAGATCTCTGTCTTGATCCACGTGGCCAGGTCCCTAAGGCCTAGAGCCAGTGTAGGGCATTGGCCTCAGCCCTACCCTCCCTAATGTCTGAAATGAGACAGACCTCTTAGCCCTTCTTAATGAAGGCCAAGGCATGTGGGAGAAGGCACCGTACTGTGATCAGGGCCTAGCTTTGGGCCAGCCATCTTCATTCAGCAGATGACACTGTAGATAGCCTAGAATGGAGGTGGACAGAGGACTCTTGAGTTGTTAGGACACGAAGAAGACAACTTGGTTGGTGGTAGAGTGTTTACCTAGATTCATCAGTACCACAAAAGTGAAACATACAAATAGGAAAACACCTGGACAGCTGAGCATGGTGGTTGTATATCTGCAGCAGGAGGATTGCTGTGAGTTCATGACCTTCCTAAGCTAAATAATAAGATGAGAGAGAGAGAGAGAGAGAGAGAGAGAGAGAGAGAGAGAGAGAGAGAGAGAGGAGGGAGTGGGAAGGGGAGGCAGGAGAGAGAAAATAAGAACTTGGCTCGGTACCTAGTGCTTGGTAAATGTTCACTCCTTCCCTGTCTTCCTCTTAGTGCCTCCGCTCTGGCCTTCTCAGTTCCTGTTTCTCTGTTCCAGGTGGCTGATGGTGACTAACACACGAGGGACATTTGTGTGAAATTTGTACTATCTGTGTCACAGCACCCAGTTCAAGTATAATAACTAATGCCACACGGCAGAAAGGACCCAATCTATAGTCCCACTTCCCCTAGTGAGCACTCCGAACTGTCAGTTCAGTTACCCGAAGGTTGTGTGGCCAAGCCGGAGCCCAGTGCGTTCCCTGGAGGAGGCAACCACAATGTTATAATGTTGGAGAAGGGCTCACAGGAAGGAGAATTTCTCAGGCAAACAGAAGAGTCAGCTCTCCAGCTGAAGTAGTGGTTCCCTCCACCGACCCCAGACATGGGGTTAGGGAGGCCATTTTGGAATCCCAAGCACACTAAAAGACCTGAGAAATGGGAGGGCCTTGCTTGCTTCTCTGTATTACGGTTTCAGTCAAAATGTACCTCCTTCTTCCCAAGATAGGATCTCCTGCAAACTCATAGGTTGACCTTGAAATTTCAACAGTCCTCTGCCTCAGCCTTCTAAGGGATTGTGGCCCTACCTTGTGTTAGCCATGTTCTGCTCTTCCCTGTTGTGTAAACCAGCTATGGGGTCAGCTGTTTCTCCCTCTCACTGTAGCAAGACAGGGCATCAGCTCACTCTCAAAATAGGCCCAGCAGCCCTGCTCTGTCACCTCCAGCCAAAAGCCTGGCACGTCCGTTGGCAGATGAAGGGGCCCTAATTATAGCTGATGGGCCCCCAGGGTAGAAGCAGCTGGGCCAGAGCAGGACTGTGCCAGTCGGTGGCTGTTGAGTGCCTCCTCGGAGTGGAGACTTCCCCCAGGAGTGAGGGGCAGTGAAGAGGGTGGCCTGATCTGAAACCTCTGACCTCGGAGGTAGCTGCCCGCCTCTGTGCCCTTTGGGTGTAGGAGCAGTTGGGCCTTGGGCCAGCCAGGAGGGTGTGGCAGTGTGGACTTTGGCCCGGGGATAGCTTCCTGGAAAGGTAACCGGGTGGGTTCTGGCTTTCTTTTTCTCCAGCCCCCAGCTCTCTCCACCTCCCCACACCCAAATCTCCTTAGCCTGAATTCAGAGGGTGTGGCTGGGTGTAGTCCAGTCACCAGTGGAGAACATCTGGCCTTGAGGAGTGCTTGCTGCTTGTGGAGTCCTCTTGGCTTTCCCAGCTGCCTGTCTCTGTCAGGGAATTCGGAAAATCCCCTTCTCTTTCTTCTTGGACTTTGAGCCTGTTCTGGGGTATGCCCCTGGGGCTAGGAGAGGGGACACGGACGATAAGAGGGCTGTGGGGGAGGGCAAACAGTGCACTGGGGGCAGAGATCTTGGTACTCCTCCCTGGTGACTCTGTGGGGTGTCACTGGGGAGGAAGAGGGGCTACAGTATTGAAAGGAAGTTTTACTGACCCTCTGTAGAAATGTCAGTGTGAGAGAAGGAGTTTGGTACAGGACAGGATGGATGGTCACCGGACCTGGAGATGACTTTGGCTAAGCGAGTTCCGCCTGGGCCCTACCTGAAAATTGGGGGATATGTTTGAGTCAGGAGTCCCAGAGGCGTCTTTCTGGGTTTCCGGAAGTGCATCGCATCGCAGGGCCACCCAGAAGAGGTCCTACTTGCTTTGGGACCTGCCCCGTTCTGTGGTTCTTGGGGAGGCTAGGGACATGTGTGACTCCTGAGATGAAGGCAGAGTCTCTGCTTAGACTTCTCACGCCCCCCCCCCCCGAGCCCCGGAAGGCCCTTGATTCTGGTTCCCTTGTTTCCTAGGATCTGTTTTCCAGTGCAGGTGAACAGGCTGCCTCGGGAGACCCTGCTGTGTGCTACACTCTATGCCCTGCCCATCCCCCCTCCTGGAAGTTCCTCGGAAGCCAATAAGCAGAGGCGGGTGCCCGAAGCCCTAGGCTGGGTCACTACCCCTCTCTTCAACTTCAGGCAGTATGTGAGCCCCAGGGGACCAGCTTTTGGCCTTGGAAGGGAACAAGGGGGCTGAAGATAAAAGGGGTTGCTTTTTCTCAATGCTCCCTGGGAAGGGTTGGCCATGTGGTGCTCACTGTGTAGTCCAGAGGGCCTCAGCCCTAGCAGAGAAGCCAATGTACAGGCCTGGGGACCAGGACTAAGGATGGAACCCGGCAGGTGGGCGAGGGGGCTGGGAGAGCAATGTTTCCGTTACAAGTCATCCGGTCCTGTCATTAGGACTTTAGAGATCATCTATCCAGGCCTCTCTACCTCAGGGAGATATCCCAGCCGACAGGTCATCCTGGTCAGGGAGTGGTGAGCTTGGAGAGGCTCTCTGCAATGGGAGATTTCCTAGAGATTAGTAGTAAAAGCTGTGGTCTGTAGGGAGAATCAGAGAGACAGGAGTGGGGAAGAGACTTCCACAAGGAAAGGTCTGGGGACAAGAGAGCAGGAGAGAACCCTACCAATTACACAGTGGTTGTTGGCTCATCTCACTCTCCTTCTACCTCAGAGTCTTGACCTGTGGCCGGAAGCTTCTGGGCTTGTGGCCAGCAACACAGGAAAACTCCAGTGCCCGTTGGAGTGCACCTAATTTCCACCAGCCAGACAGTGTCATCCTGCAGGTGAGACCCAGCCTCTCTCCCATCCGCCTATCCCAGGGCACCAGAGTCAGCTCCAAGGCCCCCAGTGAACTCTGGGTAGGAACTTCGGGCATGGGATGAGATGTGACCAAGCACCCCACTGAATGTGAGGGCATGAGTGGAAAGTTCCCATCCCCCATTTCACAGCATCCTCTGAAGGTGAGGTCTGAGACCTTCTCCACCTAGGGCTCACCCTGTTTGGGGCTCATCCTTCTAAGCCTGATTCAACCAGGTGCTTCTCTTGAGGCCAAGGGGACCTGTTCTCCTGGGAGGAAGGGAGAGAAGCGGCCTTAACCCTAGTTCTGATTCCCCTTTCTCAATCTTGTGAGATGCTGTGGTATGGAGTAGGGAATAGCAAAACTGACAGAAAATGTCATAGAAATATTCAGAACGTGTGCTTCCAGAGGCGGGTGTTTTTGTCTTGACTCTGTGCACAGGGGCTGTACACAGGGTGTACTTGTATTGTACACCCAATACAAGTCAGGGTACAGTGTGCACTTGCTGAATGAGTAAACAGAACTTCTTGGAGAACTGTATCTTTTAGCTCTGATGCCCATTTTTGGTGGTACAGAGTAAATGACCACAGACCGTAGAGTTCGAGCCTTCACCCAAGGTGTGGTCCCAGATCCCCGCATGCTACAATGCCTCCGGGACCACACCATGGGGTCCCCAGAAGATCACACTAGGGGGTCACCAGCTTCAGCTTGGGCACTCTGAGTGACTTATACTAGTAATATCAGTTCAGGGTTTTGAGGTGGGGCCTGTCTTCCTTAAGCATCTCAAACCAGCCTTTCCCTCCCTTGTCCATTTTCCCTATGTTTCTCTTTTTGAAGGGAAGGCTTGGATGAAAAGGGTCCTCTCTATGATTCCTGACTGGCCTGGAACTCACCGTGTAGATCAGGCTGTTCTTAAATTTTCAGGAGTACTCCTGCCTCGGCCTTTCTGAGCGCTAGGATTCCCAGCATAGCCCATCACGCTAGGCTTCCAATGGTTTCCTTTTAATTTTTGCTAAAAGTCACAGCTGGGACTTTGGGGGATCCCCACGGGCATCTGGGGTTATTTCACAAAGATAAAGGATTGGGGCAGGAGTCCCTGGCGGGGTGTGAGAGGAGGATAGCTGGGGACCTGCGGATGGGACCGACCGCCTCCACTGACCCCACTGACCCCACCGCCTCCACTGACGGACACCGTCTCCTCTCCTTTCTTCTTCTCCTTCTCTGATCCTATCCCAAGATTGACTTCCCCACCTCGGCCTTTGACATCAAGTTCACCAGCCCCCCTGGAGACAAATTCAGCCCCCGCTATGAGTTTGGCAGCCTCCGGGAGGAGGACCAACGCAAGCTTAAAGACATCACGCAGAAGGAGTCCCTATACTGGTGAGGACACAGGCTTCCTTCCCACTGTCCATGTCGGCCTGACTTTTTACCTTCCGGCATCTAGTTCCTGCCCCTGTGCTTGAGGAGGGGAGGAGGTCAGTGAGATAGTTATTGCTACCACCTAGGCAGAAGGGTGGCAACCCCCAGACCTTTCCCTAGCTAACACTAGGGAGAGTGGATAGGGCAGGTCAGGAAATGAGATCCCAGCATACCCAGCTCCACGCTGGTGACCTGCCCCAGACCCACCTACCAGGAGGATCAGAGCTGTGCCGCTTCCCCAGATATGCCATCCTCTACTTCTGGTGCGGCAGCTGGTCTCTGTCCTCACCTCCCTGCCCCCACTGCCTCCCGCCCCTCCACACCAACAGCCTTTGCATTTTTCTGGCCTTGTCACATTCCAAAAAGGATCAGGTGTCTTGGCAAGCTGGCAACTCTCTGGAGTCCAGGCTGATCTCATCCTTGGGGCTGCTTGTGTTCACCCAGGACTGGAGAGGGAGGGGTGAGAAGGAGGAGAGTCAGGGCCTTCTCTCATCCCAGCCACCTCTCTGGGCCCTGAATGGCCTTGTGCATATGCTGGGTTGGGGAACGAGAGATGCAGACCTCCCCGCCCCCACCCCACTCCTGACCCCTCATTTCATTAGCCCCTCAGCTCCTGTCTCCCCTATTAGACACCTGATCTCAGGCAAGTCCCAATTAGCTACAGACCCTATAAAGCTAAGAGAAGTCCCAAGAGGCCTCAGGGGCCCAAACCCTGACAAGTGTTGCCCACTGCCCTCTAGTGGCTCTACATGGGAGTAGGACCCCTAGGGCGTCCTGTGGTCTGGTGTTACTGGTCCACGTTCTCAGCCTCAGTCTGACATGTGTCCCTGAGATGGGACCCTGCTTTCCAAGCTTAGCTTCACATTGCAATCATCTATGATCTTTCTGATACACCCGATGTTTAGTTTCTGGAGACATCCTGACTCGGTTGGCATTGGGGCGAGTCCTAGGCGCCAGAAAGTCACCAAGCCCCTCAGGTGATTGATGATCATGTACAGGGACGCTGGGAAGCCTCTGAATGGTAGTGTGTGCAGCCACTCTCTTGGGATGTAAGTTCTCAGCCCTCTGGCTCACTCCACCCATCTCCTCACAGGCTCACGGATGCTGACAGGAAGCACCTGTGGGAAAAGCGCTATTACTGCCACTCGGAGGTGAGCTCACTGCCCCTGGTGCTCGCCAGTGCGCCCAGCTGGGAGTGGGCTTGCCTGCCCGACATCTATGCTCTCCTGAAGCAGTGGCCACACATGAACCACCAGGATGCCCTGGGGCTCCTTCATGCCACGTGAGTTGTAGCTTCTACTTGTCCCAGCACCGCCATCACTGACAGGCCAGCTGGGGAAAATGGGGACACAGACATGAGCATTCTGGGCTTTCCTAGTTTTCTCTTTGTTTTCTTTTCCCCCAGTACTCCTGGGAGTACCCCATATGCAAGTTGCCTAGATACCACCCCTGGCGTTCCCCACAATGCTTTATTAGGTGTCTGGGTGCTCTTCTGGGCAGCTGTCACACATCATTAAATTGTAAATATTGGAGCATGCTCTTTTTGTTAAACAAAAAATTTTGGTGTTTGGGACAGGGTCTCATGATGTAGCCCTAACTGGCCTGGAATTGGCTTTGTAGGCCATGCTGGTCTTGAACTCACAAAGATTCAGAGATGCCTGTCTCTGCTGCCTCCTGAGAACTGGGATTAAAGGCATAGGCCCCCATGCTCCATGGCACACACATTATTAACACAGCTCATGATTCCTTTTTTTTTGTTTGTTTGAAGCAAAATTTACACATAAGCCCAAACTTCACATATTCATCCATTGTTTCAGCAGATGCTTTCCCTTGTGTGGCCCAAACCTTGCTGGCTGACTTCTCATTTTAACACTCCTTTCTTCTCTTTCTCCGAAAGAGTTCTTGGGGTCATGGGGCTGCCCGTCTGAGCTGCCTTTTCTAGACTGTACCCAGGCTTCCTGGCTTTTTTTTTTTTTTTTTTTTTTGCCATCTCAGAAATCAAAATGTACCTGCCTTTGAGACTTTTCGAGGCTACATCTTTACTAATCCCTGCAAAACTCATTTCCCAGGATGTCTGTTGGCTTATATAAACCCCCGCAGTTCTGTATTGCTTGCCTGGCAGGCTCTGTATTGTAGGGATATTACCAGGAAAACAGGCCTCACCCACTCAAGGGCTCCTTGACGGTAGGGGCTTCTAAGAGTGGGGGTTTAGGAAGAGCTTTGGGTAAAGTGCTCAGGGAATAAGAAAGGCCATTTTCCTGCTCTTCCCTGCCTAAGGGAGACTGTCCATGGGGCAGAGGGATGGGAAGACCATCTCTAAGGACTGCCTTCCAGAAGAGAAGCAGATCTTGGCAGGAGAGGGATCGGGCTTTTCCTTCTCCATGCCTCTGACCCCAGGCATAAAGTTTGACTCACATCTCTGAGTCACAGCCCGCAGTGGGGATTGTCAAGTCTCTGAACTCTTCTGCAGCTTTCCCGACCAGGAGGTGCGGCGGATGGCGGTGCAGTGGATCGGCTCCCTCTCGGATGCGGAGCTGCTGGACTACCTGCCCCAGCTAGTACAGGTGCGAGGACTCGCTGTCCTCATGCCCCCCCCCAGTCTTTCTCCATCTGCCCTCAGAAGCCAACATCCCAGGATGGTAGTCAGTGCAGATTTCAGGTGCTTACTAAAGCCTCGTGTTTGCTGTCTTCTAAACAGGCCCTGAAGTATGAGTGCTACCTGGACAGCCCCTTGGTGCGCTTTCTCCTGAAGCGAGCCATCTCGGACCTGAGAGTGACCCACTACTTCTTCTGGTAAACTGAGCGTGCAGAAAGGGAGGTAGATAGGGGCTATAGTGCAGGAACAGTCAGTCCCTCTGTGGCAGGTAGGAGGGAGGAGCTAAGAGACCTGACTCCAGCATGTTGCTTATCTACCCTGTGGCCTTGGTCTAGTATCTTTCCTCAACGGGGTCACGGGGTCGGGGTCTCCATACACCTCCGTGTAACTCAGGGGAGACCATCTTGATCCCCCTCCTCTACCCACCCATGGCAGAAGAAGCATAAAGTCAAGATGAGCTATAGAGGGGCTTCCACTCCAAGACAGGGAAGTCATTCAAAGCAGATTTCCCTCTAATGTGTGTGTGGGGGCGTGGGCTTTCTGAGTTGAAGCAGGAGATGACCCTTTCCTCCCTTGCTCGATGCTGTGGCTCCTGAGTAGCCTGACTCCCTACTTGCCCTGCTTTACAGGTTACTGAAGGATAGCCTCAAGGACTCTCAGTTCAGCATCCGCTACCAGTACCTGCTGGCAGCCTTGCTGTGCTGCTGTGGCAAGGGACTGAGGGAGGAGTTTAACCGCCAGTGCTGGCTTGTCAATACCCTGGCCAAACTGGCCCAGCAGGTCCGAGAGGCCACCCCATCTGCACGCCAGGTAAATAGGCAAGGCGGCTCTCCCTGACCCTGTTTCTAGCTGAGGCTTGTGTCACGAGGAGTTTACCTCTCAGACATCCTGAGCAGCAGGATAGAAAGTGACTAGAAGGAGGTGGCTGTAACCTGCAGGCCACAAACAGTCCCCAAGCTGGCCACAGTTCACAAATGTGTTTGGTTTGGCTTGCAAAATATTAGAATTTTGACTTAGCTGCTTGCCTTAAAGGCTAGGCATACCTGTGTGTGCACAAGCACACTCAGCTGCTGAGGGCTAAGGTCCGGTCACTTTTCACTGTGGGGAACCATGACTCAGGGCTGAGACAGGTGACAGAAAGGGCCACCTTTGTTTTAGGGAAGGTGCTAGGCCACACCAGCTGTGCTTCTGGTGTCTTAAACCTTGGGAGATCTTTATCTGTGTCTTCTCTTCTCTTCTCTTCTCTTCTCTTCTCTTCTCTTCTCTTCTCTTCTCTTCTCTTCTCTTCTCTTCTCTTCTCTTATCAAAGCCTTGAAGGACTTTCACCCCTCACCCTCCAATCTACACCTCCCTCTTCCCTTCTCCTGGCTGCCTTTTCTCTTAGAAACTCGGGTTGCTTCTTGTTCACTGAGCAAGTCTGAGACCTAAGTGGGTGACTGTCCTCCCCAAGGGTTTCTCAGAAGTTGTCCCTGTTATTTAGGCACGTGACTAGGCTCCTTCCTCGGGAGGTAGATGCCTGGCTCTCAGTGAAGCCTCTGGGCCTCTCCCCTCACCCCTGCTTTTCCCCACTCCCTCTGAAGGGCATCCTTCGCTCGGGCTTGGAGGAGGTGAAGCAGTTCTTTGCCCTCAACGGTTCGTGCCGCCTGCCGCTAAGCCCCAGTCTACTGGTGAAGGGCATTGTGCCCAGGGTGAGTCTCTGCTAGGTGTGGAACTTCAAAGAATGGGGAACTCTTGCGGGAAGTGAAGGCCTCCTTACCCTGTCTTAGGAGAGGAGGGAGGAGGGCAAACAGGTGGCCTCTTCCCAGCTTGACTGTGTGTGGACTTGGTTTGACAGCTGTAATTGTGTGCTGGGCGGAATTGGGTCAGAGGCTGCATTTCCCTAATGGTGCTCTGGATGCAGCTAGCTAAGGCGGCGAGGGTGGCAACTCTTAGCCTCCTGCCTTGACTCACTGTCCAGCACGGGGCTTTTTGTCAGTTGTTTCGTTGTATTCTCACAACTCTTAGGCACGTGGTACTATTATGGAAGTGTAGGACGTGGAATTTATCAGACGTCACCAGCTAGGAAGTTGTGTGCAGAGTGAAGGGAAGAGGATGGGTAATCAGATGTAGAGCCATGGTAATAGCAACCTAAGCCTGGAAGAGAGAAGCAAGGAAAGGGATATGGACTTTGGGTTCCTGGGAAATCTGGAATATGTGATGAGCATGTCCGGGGTGGACCAACAAGAAGGTAGACAGCGTCTCCATCCAGCGTGAAGAGGGCATTTTCCGTCCTGGCACCGTCCACTGGCATTAGCCACTGCCCTCTATTCTGTACAGGACTGTTCCTACTTCAATTCTAACGCAGTCCCCCTCAAGCTCGCCTTCCAAAATGTGGATCCCCTGGGTGAGAACATCCGTGTCATCTTCAAGGTGAGAATGCTTTCCTCGGCAGGTTGTGATGGATGGCGAATGCCTGAAATCTCAGTACTTTAAGAGGCTGAGGCAGAGGGATTGCCATGAGGCAAGCCTAGACTATGTAGTGACTTCCAGGTCAGGTCAGGCTAGATACTGAGACACTGTTTCAAAAAAAAAAAAAACAAAAGAAAGAAAACCCTGTCTTGAAAAACCAAACAAAAACAAAAACCAAAAAAACGAAAACCAAACAAACAAAAAAGCAAAACCGCTATGCTTTTAATCCCAGCACACAGGAGGCAGATGCAGCAGATCTCTGTGAGTTCGAGGCCAGCCTGGTCTACAATGCATTCCAGGGCAGGTTCCAAAGCTACACAGAGAACCCTGTTTCAAACAAACAAACAAAGACAGTCTATAGTTAGTTTCTGATCTGGTATAAAAGTTCAAGATTTTAAAAGGCCTGGTGACTCAGGCATGATGGTGCGTATCTGTAATCTAGCACTCACGGGCTGAGGCTGAAAGATGGCTGACCAAAACCAGCCCGGACTGCACAGGCAGAACTTGTCTCAAACAAACGGGCCTAGTGGTCAGGAGGGCTTCTTGCAGAAAAGGAACCTTAGTTCAGTTCAGAGGGGCACGCAGCAACGGGAGGGGTGGGGAGCAAGGCAAGGGGCGGACTGCAGAGATTGGTCCTGGTTCCTTGACCCCGTGGGCCAGATCAACAGGTGAGTGCTGGCAAAGCTGGCGAGCCCCAGTCTCTCCCTGCCCCTGTAGTTTGGAATGCCGCGGGGTCAGGAGGGAGTGGAATGGGTTTTAATTGCTCCTCTTCCCTCTCCAGTGCGGGGATGACCTTCGCCAGGACATGCTCACCCTGCAGATGATCCGCATCATGAGCAAGATCTGGGTGCAGGAGGGGCTGGATATGCGCATGGTCATTTTCCGCTGCTTCTCCACTGGCCGAGGGAGAGGTCAGCCGGGAGTCGGGCAGGGCATCCCTTCACTCCCCGCCTTTCTGCTCGTTCCCCAACGTGAACAATGGAGAATAGAAGGGCAGGATTATTCCATGAGAAGATGTGGGGTGACTTGAAAAAAGAAAGCGAGGGAGAGACTGTTGCGAAACAAAACAGACTTGGAGGCATAGCAACCTCTGTGGACTTTGGATCTTGATCAAACAAATCCATTGTGGTTTTGAGATGGCTGTAAGGAAATTTGAAAAGAGGCTCTAGCTTCCAGGGCCACTCTTAGTGTTTTGGATGTGACAAGTATGTGGTTATTCTGTCCTTGTTAGTTATATTTAAAAGTATTTATTGCATGAAATGGCATGTCCAAAGTGGAGAGCGGTGACGGCATATCGATAATCCGAGCTCTCAGATGAGGTGGGAGGGTCAGAAGTTCGAGGCCAGCTTGGCCTATAGAGCGAGACCCTGTCTGGCTTTGCGGTCCTCCAGCTGGAAGAACAGGAAGTAGGAAGCTAACTGGGTAACGGAAGGGGAAAAGGAATTAGTAAAGCACCGATTGGTAGAGCTGGGTGGCGGCTACCTTAGAATTGATTTAAAGGCCTGTCTATCTTTCACACGGTGACCCGGGAAGCCTAGCGCCAGTCTAGAATATGTGGTGTGGGTGTGGTCTTCTTTCCATCGTCCATCATGTGTTCTCCCTGCTGGCAGACTTTGTCCAAAGGCTCTGGGGCTTAGCTCGTGGTAAGCATCTACACAGCTAAGAGAGATTTCCTCACTCTGTTCTGAAGCCTGAGTCTGACTGCTTCTCCCTCAGGGATGGTGGAGGTGATACCCAACGCGGAGACGCTGCGCAAGATCCAGGTGGAACACGGGGTGACCGGCTCCTTCAAGGACCGTCCCCTGGCTGACTGGCTGCAGAAACACAACCCCGGGGAGGACGAATATGAAAAGGTAGGACTGGGGGATTCCAAAGCCCAGAGCTGCTGAGGCAGTGTGCCTGTCTGTGACTCAGAGTTTTGCTATCGCTAGACCTGCGTGCGCACAGATGGGCCAGCTCAGCTTTGCTGAAGGGTGTGCTCTCTGTGGACAGATGGGTCGGATGACTATTGCAAATTAACAGTATCTTTTAGAATTGGTCAGAGAAACTTTCTTGGGTCCTATGGGGAGCAGCTTATGAGAGTTTTTCTCTATCTGTCCCAATTGTGGATCCTGGCCTGTTTCCCTGGCACTCTCAGAGGGACTCAGTGATGCTGCCTAGGATTCGAGATGGCAGGAAGAGGCTTTGGATAGCATCTTAACCCAACCCCCTTTTTTTGTGGGCAGGAGTCAGGTGCAACCCTTGCTCCAAGCAGTGGAGCTGGTATGCAAGACTGTAACTTGAAGCCAAGATTGAGGCTAGTGATAAGACACACGGGAGCCAAGCGGCCTAACTGGCCCCATTAGAGGGAAGAAGGTGAGCTGCCAGGGATGGTAGAGCCCTGTTGGTCTGATGTCATCCGTGACCAGTCCTCAGCTTCATGACTGTAGTCTTTGGATTCATGAAGTTTGGGGTGAGAGTTAAAGGGAGCAAGTTACAATAAAAATACCAGAATGTGGCACATACTTTTAAACCCAGAACTCAGGAGGCAGAGGCAGGTAGACCTCTGTGAGTTCCAAGCCAGCCAGGGCTACATATTAAGACTCTGTCTCAAAAACAAACAAAAGATTCCAGAATGTAAATTCCTATAAGGCTTGCTTCAAGGGAATATCAATACTAATTTATGTTGGTCGGTGCATTTTATTCCTGAAGGGGAAGACATGCAGGCAGTCAAATAATAACCAGAATATGTCCGATGGGTGTGTGATCAGGTGGTCTTAAGCGGCCCTAATAAATTTGTGGTCCCCGGGGTTTAATTCCCAGGCCCTCCCTCTGTGCTCTCCGACTAACACTGTCTTGACTGACACGCCTTCTGCTATGCCTTCTATCCCTGCTCATGTCCCGAGGACTCCAAAGCCCCACTTGTAACCCCTTCCCCCGTGCAACGTAAGCCACAGTCGCCCTCGCTGGCTGGATTCCTCCGCTGCATCTTTGCAATCGTCAAACAGTTTCCTGTCTCCTCTCACCTCTTGAGGCCTGCTTATTGTGTGTTTCCTATCCGTGACTGTAGGATGCTGCAGTCACCCAGACCAGAGCCAGCAGCTTCTTCACGGTCCCTCTGCCTAGTTTTGGGGACTTTTCAAGTCCAGAGCCGTTCATGTCACATCGTTGCTCAGGGTTCTTCAAAGGCTGCCACTAGATAAATCCAACATCTACGTGGCTGCCTTTGTAATCCAGCCTGGCCTTTCACTTAGGCTCCCGTGTAGGGGATGTTCGCACGAGTCTAATACCTCTAGATGATAGTACCCTTTGGCCTAGAAAGCCATTCCCTGTTTCCCAGCCTCACACACTGCTTCTTCGACATTGTACACTGAGCCTGGGAGAGGCTGCTGCTGCTGCTTCTCTCCCTCCTCCAAACCCATGTGCTATTTATGCTAACGTGTTCTCTCCGGTGCCAAACGCCTCCCATAACGAGAGCTGTGCTGGGTGTTGGAACTGTAATTTCTCTGTGCCAGTGTACTAGCAAGTCATAATAAACGTGCAAGTGTCTACAACAAGCAGGGACGTACCTGGAAGCTGACTTTGTTATTTTTTTTTTCCCTTTTGGTTTTTTGAGACAGGACCTCACTCTGTAGCAAAGCTCAGGCAGGCCTGGAACTCATGATCCTTCTGCCTCAGCTTCCTGAATGTTGAGACTGTAGATGTGAGGCACAGAGCTAGTAGTTCCTTTTTTTCTTTTTCTCTTCCTGCTTTTCTTTTTTCTTCATTTTTATAGATGGGGTTTCTCTTTGTAGCTTTGGAGCCTGTCCTGGAACTATCTCTGTAGACCAGGTGTCCTCAAACTCATAGAGATCCGCCTGCCTCTGCCTCCTTAGAGCTGGGATTAAAGGCGTGCGCCACCACCACCCGGATCCAAGCAGTTTTTTTTTTCCATTCATAGATGTTTGCTTTCTAAGAAATGGCCTTCCCCTTACAGAAGCTGAATTCTATATATGTTTTGTTTTGTTTTTTGAGACAAGAGTCTCACTATGTAGCTCTGGCTGTCCTGGAACTCATTATATAGATCAAGTCGACCTAAAACACACAGAGACCTGCCTCTCCCTCCCCATTGCCACACGCCTGGCCCCTCCTCCTTTTTGTGTTTGTGCAAGAACATGAATGGGTAAATGCACTCACCCATGGGTGTGCATGCTAAGGCCAAAGCAGGACATCAAGTGTCTTCCTCTCTCACTCTGTACTTTGCTGTCTTTAGGTAGGGTCTGTTGAGGAGGGAACTGGAAGCTTGCTGTTTTGTCTAGGCTGGCTGTCCAGTGAACTCTCAAACATCTCAGTTCCACCACATGGGGGTTACAGGCATGCACAGCTATACCTAGTTTTTTACATTGGTACTGGGGCTTCCAACCCCTGTCCTTCCTCATGCTTAAAGCACAAGTGCTTTTACCCCAGCCCCTCCCACCCCTTGAGCCCCAAAATATCTCCAACACATTTTACTAAATAGAGATGTCTGATTTCCAAGTGCAAATCACTGCAGGAAGTGTGACGCTCTCAGCTCTTCTTTGGAGGCAGTGGTTTTAATTAGGTAAGCATTTAGCTGCTGCCAAGCACTCTGGGACTGGAGTGCTATTGGGACAGGAAGAAGGGTGCATGAAGGGTCATGTACCAGGCTTTTTCTTTTGGGCCACCAAACAGCTCCCAAATCGCAACACGGAGGCTTATTAATTAGTTTTGAATGTTCAGCCTAACTTCGGCACATTTCTGGCTAGCTCTTTTAACTTAAATTAACCTGTTTCTCTTTATCTACCTCTTGCCTCGGGGATTTTTATTTTTATTACCTTTTTTACTTCTGTGTATCTTACTTTCACTGCTTCTCTGTACCTGGCTGTTTGGCTAGCATCTGCCTGACTTCTTGCCCCAGCTATGTCCCTCCTTCTCTCCTCCTCCGCTCATTCTCTTTCTCCTTGAGCCTAGATTTCTCCTATTTATTCTCTGTCTGGCAGCCTCGTCTATTCCTCCCTCTGCCTAACTATTGGCAGTTCAGCTCTTTATTAAATCAATCAGGTGCCTTAGGCAGGCAAGGTGAAACAAATGGAACATATCTTCACACAGTTAAACACACACCCTTACACTGTTAAACAAATGCAACATAAGCAAAAGTAACACACCTTTACATAGTTAAAGTAACATTCTGCAGCATAAACAAGTGTAGCACATCTTTGCCTAGATGAAATAATAGTCTACCACAGGGTCAGGTGCCCTTAGTTCCGATACTCAGTACCACTCTTGAGTCAGGGTTATCTTGACCTCTTGGAAAAGTTTGAGGCATCAGCCTTTCTGTCCACTAAGGTTTCCCGATCTGAACTGCGCATGTCTACTGTCTTTCCAACCAACCAAACAAACAAACAAACGAAACCAAATTCAAATGGAGGGTGTATATAGACATAAACCTTCCGTCTCCTACTTCATAAGACATAGATGACGGGAATGCTTCTGTGTTCATAAACCTGTGCTTTGGTATATAATGTGGATAAGCAGGTGGGTGCTGGGTGCTTCTAGAGTTCACATGAGAGGAAGGTGGCCCCACCCCCTGCCTGCACTCTTCACAGGCTGTGGAGAACTTCATCTACTCCTGCGCTGGCTGCTGTGTGGCTACATACATCTTGGGCATCTGTGACAGACACAATGACAACATCATGCTGAAGACCACCGGGCACATGTTCCACATAGATTTCGGCCGCTTCCTGGGCCACGCGCAGATGTTTGGCAATATCAAGAGGTAGGTGTGCTCCTGTGTGGCGGGCAAGAGTGGTTCAGAGCTGGGGCACGAGAAGCAAGTGGACCCTCAGAGCCCTGACCCTGGGCGAGCAGCTCTGAAGGAGAGGAGACTGATCAGGAGCTCATGTTTGTGCAGAGCTTGTGGAAGGTGAGGATCAGCTGATCACATGACCTGGGGCTGAGGACTGAGCTTCAGCGGGAACGCAGTTGGGTAGCTGGGAGAAGGTGTTACTAGGTCCCAGGTCAGAAGGCATCATGAGGGTTGAAGGAAAACAGCCCCTGGTGGAGCTTACAAAGTGGCCTTCCGTCTTCATATTGACTGTCTCTACCTCTATGCTCCCTTGGTCCAGGGACCGTGCCCCCTTTGTGTTCACCTCGGACATGGCGTACGTCATCAACGGGGGTGACAAGCCTTCCAGCCGCTTCCATGATTTTGTTGACCTTTGCTGCCAAGCCTACAACCTCATTCGCAAGCACACCCACCTCTTCCTCAACCTTCTGGGCCTGGTAAGGAGTTCATCTCTTTATGACTTTCCTTCTTACTACCTGGCTCCATCTTTAAGACTGCCCCGGATTGTTCCTGAGGATTCCTGAAGATCCACTTCTCCCAATTGTGGCATCTGTCTTCCTTAAAGGCAGAGACCCAACGACTAGAAACAGTGATGCCTGACCCCTCATGTAGCCTTTCAGTGCCTGTGGCCCGCTAACCACTGCCCACAGCATCTGTCTGTAATCCCAAAGGATCGTGGCGCCTAGTACAGAAAACCGTGTCTCAGGGAGAAAGGAAGCCATGCTTGGCTCTTGTTACAGGCAGCCCCTCCTTTCTTCTAGATGCTGTCCTGTGGAATCCCAGAGCTCTCCGACCTGGAGGACCTCAAGTATGTGTATGATGCCCTGAGGCCTCAGGACACAGAGGCCAACGCCACCACCTACTTCACAAGGTAACACACAGCACAGACCAGTGCGTGCCACCACTGCCTGGCTGTTATCTGGGTTCCTACCAGAACCCAACCAGAGACTTGGTCCAGGAGGCAATGGGGAAGCTCGGTTTTATAATAGGTACTATTTATTTATTTTTATTTATTTACGGTTTTCCAAGATAGGGTCTTTCTGTGTAGCCCTGGCTGTCTTAGAATTTGTTCTATAGACCAGGCTAGCCTTGGAAGAGCTCAAAGATCCACCTGCCTGTGCTGGGACTAACGGAGTGTGGCTGCACACCCAATTTATGATATATTTTAACTCTTTTGGTCAGACCCTTCCTCTTCAACCAGACATCACTTAGAAGTTAGTCTTTTTGAGCAGTGCTTGGTGTGGCCCTGGGATTCTATTTGTTAGTACTTAAGACATTGATTGATCATCCTGAGTTCCCACCTACCTTGTTTTGAATGTGTTTAGCAGGAGGAATAAGAGCTCAGGATTCACAAATTCCATGAGATAATGTGTCAATCCTGTACTCTGTTACACCGTGACATTGGGAACATGGTTGATCTGGTGGCTAATTTAAACTCAGGGCTGGGCATTGTAGCACACACCTGTAATTCTAGTACTTAGGAAGCTGAGACAGGAGGATCGCCATGAATTTGAGGCCAGCCTGGGCTACATATTGAGATCTTGTCTACTCTTACCTCCTCCTCACTCCCCCCCAAATCTCAGGACTTTGGCAGTATCTGGTTGGATAGCTATCACAGCACAGGGAGGTTGGGCCCGTGGTTACATCCTTGGTTTCCCATTCTACACAAACAGATTGATTGAGTCCAGCCTGGGTAGCGTCGCCACGAAACTCAACTTTTTCATTCACAACCTGGCTCAGATGAAATTCACAGGCTCAGATGACCGGCTAACCCTTTCCTTTGCACCCCGAACACACACTCTCAAGAGCTCTGGGCGCATCACTGATGTCTTCCTCTGCCGTCACGAGAAGATCTTCCACCCCAGCAAGGGCTATGTAAGTGTTTGCTCCTTTCTGTTGCTTTCTGTTCACCCATCTTGGGGTTAACCCCTTTTCCATACCTGTACAGTGTGCTCTGGAGTTTACCAAGGCTCTGGCACTGGGAATAATCCAGACAGGCCTGTTCCCTCATTTAAGTGACCTTCATAGACTCGGGAAGCTGAACTGGTTTGTAGTTCTAGAGATACAGGAGGAAGTCTCTGCTTTCAGGTTCCTGCATGTGTGCAGCCTACCCTCTTTTCTCCACTGGAGACTCTTCCGAGGCCTTTTTCCTTCCGGAAAGTACCGCACACGCACACACGGAGGCACGCACGCACACACACACACACACACACACACACACGCACTTCTGCTCTCCTCCCGTCCCCTCGTGGGCAGGTGGGCAGGCAGATGTACCCTGAGTTTCGGCTTTGCAGATTTATGTGGTGAAGGTGATGCGGGAGAACGCTCATGAGGCAACGTACATCCAGAGGACGTTTGAGGAGTTCCAGGAACTGCACAACAAGCTGCGCCTGCTCTTCCCATCTTCTCTCCTGCCCAGGTAGCCCCCCAACCCCCCCCCCATCCTCTTGAACTGAAAGAGATGGGGGAGGGATGGGGATGAAGCTAGGACCGTGTTTCAGAAAGAACCATTTCAAGTTGAGGATCTACCTGCTTTACCCTGCCCGGGAGTGGGGTTGGTGACAGGAGCGCCCCCTGCTGGCTGTTATCGCCAGCTAGCCCAACAGCCTTGCTCTAGCCTTGGGGAGAAAAAAATTAAACATGGGGGCACTCGCCAGAAAGCAAGCCAGCTGAGCTGAAAGCAGGGGCACTGGGTGAAGCCGATCATGACTTAGAGTTTATAATTTATCACAGAATTGTAATATTTTTTTCCTAATGGACAAAGTGTGACATACACATTCAGACTTGGAAGGGAAGGACCCTTGACACCTACAAGAATGAGCCTGAATGAAATATGCCAGTCACGAGGAGATAAAAACTCCATGATCCTACCTATTGGATTCCCCAGAACAGTCAGGCCCTGGAGACTGAATGCAGAATCAGTGGCTGAGGTTCAAGAGGTTTAGTTCCTCAGGACGAAGAGTTCTAGACCTAGCTAGCTTCTGGTGCTGGTTATGCAGACGGTGACTGAACTCGATGCCACAGAACCGTACCCAGAAGTCTTTAAATGCTTGATGATTAAAATGCTGGAAATGTCTGGGGTCCCAGGAAGTGTGTGTGTGTGTGTGTGTGTGTGTGTGTGTGTGTGTGTGTGTAGAAAAAGAGACAGAAACGGACCAACACAGGTACAGACATGTGCACAGACTGCGCGGTCTGGTAGCAGTCATGGAGGCAAGGGTGGCCCAGAAGAGAAGCAGCTAGGAAAAGAGGATCAGGTAAATAGAAATGCAAATGAAATCTAAAATCTTCTTATCCTCTCCCCCATCCCCGTGTCCCTTGTCTGCCTGTCAATCCAGCTTCCCTAGTCGCTTTGTGATTGGCCGCTCCCGGGGAGAGGCAGTGGCCGAGCGGCGGAGGGAGGAGCTAAATGGCTACATCTGGCACTTGATTCACGCAGCCCCGGAGGTGGCTGAGGTGAGTGAGTGGCTGGGGGATGTGAGAGGAGGGGACCTGAGTCCTGGGGAAGCCATCAGGAGTCTGGAGAATGACCAGTGAGTGCCTGGCCCTACTGAGGTTGAGCAAGCACAGGTCCATGGTGGACGAGCCTCAGGCCTGGGCTTTGTTTTCATTTCCTGTGCTTATTAGAAACATTCTCCAGAGACAGGCGTGTGTTTTAGCCCCAGGCTGGCTCAGTCGTCTCCCCAAGCTGGTGTGTCTATAGGCGAATGGAGAAGGCTGGAGTAGACTAGAATAGACTGCTTTTGATCCGAAGAGGCCTGGCTTTATTTATTTACTTATTTACTTACTTATTTATTTTTTGTTCACTTTGGTTTTTGAGATGTGGTCTCACTCTCACTAAGAACTCGCTTTGGAGACCAAGCTAGCCTTGAACTTGTAACCATCTTCTTCCTTTTGTTTCTTGAATGTTGAGCATACAGGGATTTGTTCCCTACCCACCCAACCATTGGCTATTTTCTTTCTTTCTTTTTTTAATTACTTTATTTTGTGTTCATTTGCATTTTGCCTGCATGTATGTCTGTGTGAGGGTGTCAGGTCCCCAGGAACAGGGGCTACTGACAGTTGTGAACGCCCATGTGGGTGCTGAGAATTGAACCCAGGTCCAAGTGCTCTTCACCCTGAGCCATCTCTCCAGCCTTGGCTCTTTTCTCCTAAAAAAAAAAAATGTGTGTGTGTGTGTGTGTGTGTGTGTGTGTGTGTGTGTGTGTGTAAATAAAATGAACCCTTCCTGGGCCATGTCTTACTGAAGAGTGGCCCCTGTTTTCTAATCTGTTCCAGTGTGATCTGGTATATACCTTCTTCCACCCCCTGCCCCGGGATGAGAAGGCTTCAGGCCCCAGCTCAGTTCCAAAGTCTTCAGGTACAGTTCTTTCCTGGTGGCGGTCCTGCCAGAATACATCCCCACCTCTTTGTCAGCTTCCTTTCGTGTTCAGTTGCTTACTTGCTGAGGACTCTGGTTTTCCATTCGTGCTGTGGTGTCCACAGATCTGTGGCTGAGGTCCCTAGGGGAAGGATATTTATTTAGTGATTACCCCCCTCAGTCTGGGCACACTCATCCCAACCCAGCTCTCTACTGCATTCCAGCCCACATAAGTGTCAGAAACCTGACAGGTTGGGGCAGGACTTCAGGAAGGAAGTAGAAATGTCTGCCTGGCACCAGTCAGGGGCACTTCTGGAGTATGGATCTTTCTCAGTTTCTTTTATCCCTACAGATGGGACTTGGGCCCGGCCCGTTGGGAAGGTCGGTGGGGAAGTGAAGCTATCCATCTCCTATAAAAACAACAAACTCTTCATCATGGTGATGCATATTCGGGGCTTGGTAAGTGCATGGACAGCCCTCACTGGGTCTGTCATCTTTCTGCTGGTAGCTTTTGAGTGAGTCAGTTCTCTGCTCCCAGATAACGAGAGTAACCACAGATGTTTACTGAGTCTCCACCACAGGCTGCCCACACCAGGCCTGCGGTTGACCAGGCGATTCAAGACACAGCTGCTTGCTTGCTGTGGTCTTTGTAGCGGTATCCTGAGTACCGTGAGCCTCTTTATAAGATGCTGGTGGTGTCTCCTTCCAGGGGTTGCTGTGGGGATGAACCGAGATAATCCATGGGATGCACTTGCCTTTCTGAGTAGTAGTGTTGCTATGGTAATTCTGGTTTTATAAAAGAGAGGCCTAGGGCATTTGCTACCTGGTTATATTAATAGATATAGATAGGTGAGTCTAGACAGGGCAGCCACTGGACTTCCTTCGGGCATATTCAAGGCAGTATATAATTAATTTTGGCACAGGTTCTAAGATCATCATGAAGGGGAAAGGAACATTTGTTGACCATTTACAATGTGTAGCGTCTGATGTTGCTCATTTTGAAGTTTGGAACACCAAGTCATAGCAGAAAGCACGTACTTTGAATCAAAGAAAACTTGGTTTTGCCAAGCAGTCGTGGTGCACGCCTTTAATCCCAGTGCTTGGGAGGGAGAGGCAGGTAGATCTCTGCAAGTTCGAGGCCAGCCTGGTCTACATAGCAAGTTCCGGTACAAGCTCCAAAGCTACACAGAGAAACCCTGTCTCAAAAAAAAAGGGGGGGCTGGAGAGATGGCTCAGTGGTTAAGAGCATTGCCTGCTCTTCCAAAGGTCCTGAGTTCAAATCCCAGCAACTACTTGGTGGCTCACAACCATCTGTAATGAGGTCTGGTGCCCTCTTCTGGCCTGCAGACATACACACAGATAGAATATTGTATATATAACAAATAAATAAATAAATATTTTAAAAAAACTGAAAAAACTTGGTTTCATATTCACATTCTTTTATGTTTATCACTCATTCATTCAACAAATCTTATTTTGTGCCGACTAATACATTAGCCCTTGATACAGGAGAAGCCAAAACACAGCTGTGCCCAGGGCACCTGTAGTCTAGTTAGAAAGGGCAGACCTTAGAATAGACAAGGACAATATATGGTGTGTCAGTGGGTTGAGAACCGTACAAGAGACAAAGCAGAGGAGTCCGGGAGAAAGGACATTAAGGGGTAGAGAAGGCCTCAGTGATGAGATCTGTTCAATGACCCAAGGAAGGGAGGGAGGAAGCCCCTTGTGTAAATCTGAGAGGAGATTGCTTCAGATGTGGGGAAGCAGGGAGCAGTCAGGTCTAACAGCCTGTGTGGGGTTACCAGAAACTACTCAGTTATTGTTAGCTGTGGCCTGGAGTGGAGGGCGGAGGAGCCGAAGGGAGCATAGCAAGGCTCTGACTTCCATTCCTAGAGGTCTTTGGGTAAATGTGCTGTGTTCTGAATCAAATATCAGGGGATGGGTTTTTAAATTTATTTATTTTTATAAGACAGGTTCTCAATCTAGCCCAAGCTAGTCTGGAACTGGAACTCAATAGATAGCCTAGTTGGCTTTGACCACAAGGCAGTCCTCCTGCCTCAGCTTCCCAAGTGCTGGGACATGAAATGCTGCTCTTGGTTTTGACTTAACAATAAGTTTGGAAGGCTGGAGCAGTCAGTGGTTAAGAGCACTGACTGCTCTTCCAAAGGTCCTGAGTTCAATTCCCAGCAACCACATGGTGGCTCACAGCCATCTGTAATGAGGTCTGGTGCCCTCTTCTGGCCTGCAGGCATACACACAGATAGACTATTGTATACATAATAAATAAATAAATATTAAAAAAAATGAGTTTGGAGACCATGGGATGGTTGGACCAGGCTCTAAAAACAAACGAAAACTAGGGCAGAGTCATCCTGACTGAATCAGTCGTCAGTGGGCCCTGAGCAAGCCACCTCTTCTCTCTGACTCATGCCTCTACCCGATAGCACTTACAAGGTACCAAATAACAAAACAGCGTGGAGAGGAGATACCTGGTGACTTGATGGTTCATTAAAACCATATTACAAGCCAGGCATAGCAATGCATTCCTTCCTTTAATCTCAGCACTCAGGAGGCAGAGGCAGGTGGATAATCTCTGTGAGTTTAAGTTCAGCCTGATCTATATAGTGAGCTCCAGGACAGCCAGGGCTATGTAGAGCCCTGTCTCAAAAAAACCACAACTGAAAAATTGTGTGTGTGTGTGTGTGTGTGTATGTTTAATGTAATCATGGTAGATCTTTTTATCAGCATGTAATGAGCTGGAAAGCAGATTTAAAAGATTGGGTGTGCCGTACACCAAGCCAAAGGGTGAAGGCGAGAGAATCTAGATCAGAGTGTGGCTTCAGGGATGACTGGGAAGTGGGAGATACTATTGGATCTTCATCTTTTGTTTCATCCCGTTCTAGCAGCCGCTCCAGGATGGGAATGACCCTGACCCCTATGTAAAGATTTATCTCCTTCCTGACCCTCAGAAGACCACGAAGAGGAAAACCAAAGTGGCTCGGAAAACCTGCAACCCTACCTACAATGAGATGGTGTGTCTAAGATGGGGTCGAGGGGGGCGGGTTGGGTAGACAGACAGGGTAGCGCAGGGGCTGGCAAACCTCTTCTTTAGTTATTTGTTTTGGTTTTTTTTTGAGACTCAAACTCCATATATAACCAAGGCTGGCCTCGAATTCCTGATTCTCTGAGTGCTGGGATTTTAGGCTTGAGCCACACAACACCTGGCAAGAGACTGTCCGTTCTTATAAACTTAGTTGTATTGGATCAATTCATACTTGCTGATTTAGATGCTGTGACTGCTTTTTTGTTCAGTGGTGGCCTTGAGAATTTTGGTATGGACTGTACTTTTTTAATACTCATTTTATTTGTGTGTAAATGTGCCCATGGGTCCCAGAAGATTGAGTTTGAGTCCCTAGAGCTGGAGTTATAGGTGATTTTGAGCTTCCAGACAGCAAAAACATTTTTTTTAATGTGCATTGGTGTTTGGGCTGCATGTATGTCCTTATGAAGGTATTAGATCCACTGGAACTTGAGTTATAGACAGTTGTGAGCTGCTATGTGGGTGCTGAGGGGTTTTTTTGTTGTTGTTGTTGTTGTTTTTGTTTTTGTTTTTCAAGACAGGGTTTCTCTATATCACATCTCTGGCTTTCCTGAAAGTCATTTTGTAGACCAGGCTGACCTTGAACTCACACAGATCTGCCAGCTTTTGCCTCCCAAGTACTGGGATTAAAGGTGTGCACCACTATGTTGGGCAACAACCATTACTCATAGCTGCTGAGCCATCTCTCCAGGCCGACAGCAAGCGCTCTGGACTAGTGAGGTGTTTGATGGCGCCCCCACATGTTATAAAGCCTAACACAGTGGACCACCTTCCCCTCTATGTAAAAACTCTCAAACCCTGGGGATTATGATCCTCAAGGTGGGATTTGGGCCCTCACATGTGAGGACGGGAGCTTTCTGACCTATATGGAGTTGCCACGGACCACCCCAGTCAGCTATGGGAGTCCCTGGGACAGGGGTCCTCGAAGGTTAGGTGGGTAAGGATTTGGAGGTGACAGACAGAAACAAATGCAGAGGTAGCTTGAATCTGAGTGTATTTTACAGCTTTCAAGCAAGGATTTTTATACATAATGAGACAAGTGTTAAAATTCTCAAAAGATGTGTTTAGTGAAGCAATCACGGATAGGACAGATGACATCATTGTCATTTGGCACAGTAAAGCATAGAAGCATCAGAGGCTAACGGCACATTTCCAAGATCGGGTTAATAAATGTTTATGGTTGGTCATTGTTTAACAACTAGTATCTAGTTTTTGTAAATCTTCAAGGTATAATTTTAAACTATTGATCTTTTATTTAAGGCTTTCTTTACTATATATCTAAGCCCACTTCCGATGATGTACATACAGCCACATGAAATTTTATCATTGGAAAAGTTATTATCATTATACTATTTTATAATTTTTGTAAATGATTTGTGAAGTAAAGCACTGGTTATTCCGGAGATGAGGTCATAGGTAGTGACCTTATCTCAAGGGATGGTTTCTTATCCATATTTCTCACTTAAAACCTCAGCCTGGGCTATCGGGAACATCTTGTAAATATGGAAAGGGAATAGAAGAAGATAAAACAGATAGATTGCCATGAGAACTTCCGCTCGATATTTCGCTCCAGCCAAGAGTTTCACAACCGGTTCCAGGAGGCCTCCTCCTTCTGAAGTTTTCGCCTCAAGCTGTGGAACTTGTCACACAGACTCTACTGGGGCTGGTGTGGCATGGAGGATGACAGACTCCAGTAAACATAATCCCAGCATTTGGGAGGCAGAGGAGGAGTATTGTCAGCACCAGGCCAACCTGGGCTACATTTACACCATCTTAAACAACCCAGGCGCTGGGCAGTGGTGGCACATGTCTATAATCCCAGTACTTGGGAGACAGAGGCAGGCAGATCTCCATGAGTTCAAGGCCTGGTCTACAGAGTGAGTTCCAGGACAGCCAGGACTACACACAGAAACCCTGTCTTGAAAAAACAAAGAAAGAAAAGGAGGGAGGAAAGGAAAGAAGGGAGGGAAGGAGAGAGGGTGGGTGGGAGAGAGGGAGGGAGGGAGGAAAGGAAAGAAGGAAGGAGGGATGGAGAGAGAGAGAGAGAGAGAGAGAGAGAGAGAGAGAGAAAGAAAGAAAGAAAGAAAGAAAGAAAGAAAGAAAGAAAGAAAGAAAGAAAGAAAGAAAGAAAGCGATGAACCCCAGGGACTGGTCATCTTCTCTGACTTCCCGGTGGATCCCTCTACCCTGTATCACTTCCCTGTAGATTACCCTGCCCTGTCTCACAGTCTCCCTCTTTTCCCAATGCCCATGTTTGCAGTTGGTGTATGATGGGATCCCCAAGGGAGACCTACAGCAGCGGGAGCTCCAGCTGAGCGTGCTAAGTGAGCAAGGATTTTGGGAGAACGTGCTCCTTGGGGAGGTACACATTCGCCTTCGGGAGCTGGACCTGGCCCAGGAGAAGACTGGCTGGTTTGCACTGGGATCTCGAGGTCATGGAACCTTATGAGCCTAATCATGGCCCAGGCCTGCAGCTGCTGCCCAGAGCTGGGGGAGAATGACTCCCCTGCCTGGCCTGACTCCTTTGCTAGGAAGGGGTGCAGCCCTCGGTGGCCTTCCCCATGGTCCAGGTGGACCTGACCTCGGTGAGGGGCTGGAAGAGTCCGGCGCTCTGTGCTGCCCCTTCTTCGGTGGACTGCACTTGGGTTGGTTGTGGGGAACGGGCCCTCGGAAGCTGTGGGTCGCAGCAGAGTCTTAAGTTTACCTTGTGTCAAGGGAGCAATGCCTGCTTTGGGGTGTGTGGAGCGCGAGCTATATGAAGTAGCACTTGGGGGAGGGTGGGTGGATATTTTATTTTAATTTTTAAAAAATGAAATAGTAATGTTGTCCTAGCTGGGACAGGAAGCCTTGAGAGGGGCATACCGTGCCTCAGACGGCAAGAGAGGACTATTTGGGTTTTTTGTATGATGAAAGTTCTTATTGGACTTTTTCCCAGGACTTTTTGGGTTTTGTTTTCTAGCTATAGGAAATGTTGGGGAGGGGCCCGGTAGGTCCTCGGTGAAGCCCTCCCCCTCTCAGGCGCACTGGGGAAGGGTGGGGAGGACTCCCTGACTGCTGGGCTGAGGCCCTCCCTGGGCTGTCTGATTTTGCCTCCAAAGGAGAGCAGTGTGATACCTACGTGTGTAAGGAAGGGCCTTCCGTGTCAGGGGTCCGCCATGGACCTGTGTTCAGGGACCCATGCTCTTTAGGGCAGAATTTTCTTCTCTTCTTCCCCTGCTGGTTGGATTTGACTCTGATGTCTTCCTTTCCCCTTTGCCCCTCTGATCTCGCAGCCCTCTGCGGGTCCTGGTGAATACACTGGGGTGCTCCTATGCCCCAACTTGTTTGATGGGACAGAATGCTGCCGACCCTCAGCTCCAGGCCACGCCTGTAGAGGGCAGGTGCGTTGTGGCCACTTGCTGCATAGTTCCTGGAATATGTTCCTGAGACCTACTACTACTTTCCCTCCCAAACCTGTTTCTCTCACACTTCAAAAGGGATTTCATTGTGTAGGGCCACAAAGCTGTTTAGCATGTAGACAGAGGGTACCCTGTCCACAGCTAAGGGGGCTGGGAAGAATGAAGACCGGTCAATGCCGTTGTTCTTTCTGGCTATCTTCCTGGCCAGAAGGCAATTGGCCTGGAGCAGCATACTCTTGGAAAACAAACAGTGGCTGGAGAGATGGCTCAGCGGTTAAGAGCACTGGCTGCTCTTCCAGAGGACCTGGGTTCAATTCCCAGCACCCACAGGGCAGCTCACAACTGACTGTAGCTCCAGTTCCAGGGGACCTGACACACTCACACAGACATACATACAGGTGAAACACCAATGCACATGAAATAAAATAAATTACTTAAAAAAGAAAAAGAAAACAAAAGATTATTTCAACACATCCTTCTTATATGGTGCTAGGGATCGAACCCAGGGCCCTTTGAGTGCTGAGCAAGCACTCGACCCCCAAGCTGCATCCCCAGCCTCGTACCCTTATTCTGTACCAGATGAATTTAAAATCCACTTGAGTTTCTCTCCAAGGAGTTTTCACTATTTAAAAAGAGAGGGATTGGGACAATTCACCGTTTTTGTTTTTTTGAGACAAGGTCTCACTGTGTAGACTAGGTTGGCTTGAACTCATAGAGATCTGCCTGCCCCTGCCTCTGTAGGGCTGGGATTAAAGGCGATTAACTTCTTAAGCAGGAGTTAGCTGATGAGAGAGAAGGGCTAGCAAGGCTGCCATGACCGGTTTCTCTGGGACCCTATTACTGGAGAGTGAAAAGCTCCATTCACTGAAGCCGCATGGAAGCAAGAAAGGTTCTGTTTGTCTTGTTTATGAGCAAGGGTATCATATAGCCCAGGTTGGCCTCACACTTCTATGGAGATGAAGATAACCTTGATCTACTTGCCTTCAACCACCCAGGTGCTAGATGACAGGCATGAGCCACCACGTCCGTTCATTTTTTTTTCCTTAATTAGAATTGCGAGGTCAGTGGGTAAGAGCACTTCCTCACTAATTAGGAATGCCAGGCCAGTGAGATGGCTCAGCGAATGGGGCATTTGCCTCGTCAATTTAAATTTGATCACTGAGACCTTCAAGATGGTTGGAGAAAACCAACTTCCACAAGGTTGTTCTTTGGCTTCCAGATACATCACACATCATGTCCACCTCTCTCTCATAAACACATAAATAAGGTAATTTAAAAATCTGGCTGCGAAAGGCGGGAGACTGGAGAGGGAAAGCAGTGGAACCTTCCAGGTGTTTGGACCATAGATGAGCTACTGGCTTTTTGCCTGTAGCTCTTTTTATTCTGACCCTTTATGCCCCTGACTTAAAGAGGTCTATGTACTGTACCCACTTCCCATGTCCCCTGTATCTTCTACTTTCTCTGGAGTTGTATTTTCTAATAAATGACATTTGAGAAAACAAAGCTGCCATTATTAAAGCTTGGTTGGTGTGTGAGTGTTTAAATTAAAGCATCGGGTGCGTGTTTATGTGCACTAGTGCACGACATGGACATTTATCAATTGTCAGCTGCTTGCAATCAAAGCTTCAGGGCAAAAGTCCTGCTTCAGCAGGCCTGACAGGTCAGGCTCAGCCACTGTTCCCACATGCCAATTAAAGGGACAGTGGTAATGAAAAGCAGGGGCATGGCCACATTGGAAAGAGTATAAAGGAGGCTTGTGAGACAGGTGAGGGGCAAGAGGGATGCATAGTTAGGCTGTCTTGGTCAAGGTGCGATCCCATCTTTCGCGGTCTTGGCTGGAGTCTTGCAAGGTTCCCCAATAAATTGTTACATATTGGTCCTACTGTCCAGACATGATTCCTACAAGATGACCTGTTCCTGGGTGCAACGTTTCCATCACTGACAACTGGCATCATCGACGACAATTTCCATCATCTTGGGGAGTTCCAGGCTACCTTTGGCTACACGTTCTGAAAGGAAAATAAAAGACTCAACAAGAATAAATAGTTAAAGAAAAACTAGTTTGGGGGCTGGAGAGGCAGCTCAGAGGTTAAGAGCACTGTCTGCTCTTCCAGAGGACCTAAGTTCAATTCCCAGCAACCACATGGTGGCTCACAACCCATCTGTAATGAGATCTGGTGCCCTCTTCTGGCCTGCAGGCACACATGCATGCAAACACTGTATACATAATAAATAAGGGATCAAAACAGGATAACAAAAGACTTTGAACAGCCACAGTTGAAAGTTGGCAGAAAATTTGACCATGCAGTGTAAGTATTTCTGTTGCATATACACTTTAGGTTAATGATTATGATTGACAGCATGTCAGGAGCATCAAGCTGTCCAAACCTCTCAAGATACATTTAAATGTTTTGTTTGTTTTAAAGCATAGCAAGGAGACAGTGACATAGGCCTTTAATCCTAGCACCCAGGAGGCAGAGGCAGGGGGATCTCTGAGTCCGAGGCCAGCCTGCTCTACAAAGTGAGTTCCAGGATATCAAGAACTACACAGAGAAACCCTGTATTGAAAAAGCAAAACAAAGGAATAAACAAAAAAGTTCTTTAAAGTAAAACATACTTGTATATAGATGTATTCTCTAGCTGACTGGTACTCAACCCTTTTTAATTAAAGAATGGCTCTGTTAGATAAATATTTTTATTGCACATCCATTTTTCTTTGCTTAAAGGAGATAATCATGAGGCTAGAAAGATGGCAAAGCAGTTAAGAACACTTGATGCTCTTGCAGAGAAGCTGGGTTTGGTTTCCAGCACCCATAATATGTAGTTTATAACCATCTGTAACTTTAGTTCCAAAGGCTCTGGTGCCCTCTTTCGGCCTCCATGGGCTCCTGCACACACATGGCACATATACATATATGCAGGTAAGACATCACAGACAGGCTGCTGCAGAGGGTGCTGGGGATAGCTCCACTTCACATCTTCCAAGTCCTAGCTTGGCTCAAGAGGCAGCTGAGATGAACTAGGAGACACTCAGCTGGTGTTGAAGGTCATGGTGGTGACAGGGGTTAGATGGGTGTGGTAGGTGCTTTTGGAAGAAGTGACCTTGAGACAGGTTTACCACTCAACTCGGACTTACTTCCCTGTTGCCCTGCTGTGGTGGCCCTGTGACCCCACAGGTGCTCTGTCTTGTGAGCATTCCAGTTTGCAGACACCAGCCCAGGCATTCTTCCCTTCGGTTCATTTTGTTGTTATCCTCCTGTCTACTGTGAGCACTGGGGTGTGACTGTTGGTCTGCGAGTTGAGTTGGGAATGACCCTGCTGTCCTATGGTGTGGCTATTGCATGGTGACTACTCCTTTGTCCTTAGCTGTGGTTGCCTGAGCTGTCCAAGGGAAGCCCCACGCCTAGGGTCCAAAGATATTAAAACTATAGTGGGGTCTTACCTGGGGAGGGCATTGTGTGTGCACAGGTGCGGTGGGGGCTTGAATGAAAATAGATTCCAGTGGGCTCACGTGTTTACACACTCAGTCCCCAGTAGGTGGTACCATTTGGGGAGGATTAGAGGGTGTGGCCTTGTTGGAGGAGGTGGGTCACTGGCAGTGGACTTTGAGGATTCTTTCTGATTTTCTCTCTTGTGCTTGTGGGTCAGCTACTGCTGCAGCACCTGCCTGCCTGCTGCCACGCTTCCCACCATGTTGTGTAGTTTTACCTTTGCTACAGTGGCTGCGCTTTAAACTAGCAGCCTGGCCACTAGCGCAGTAGCCTGGGAGTGTAGTGGTATTCAGCTTGTAATCTAACAAAGCGTGCCTGAAGATCTCAGTGCAGAGCTAAGCCACTAGTAGCCATAGAGGCCAGGCAGTGGTGGCATACACCGGTAATCCCAGTGTTTAGAAGTCATATGCCTCTAATCCCAGCACTAGGGACATAGAGACAGGAAGGGATATGGCTGGGCAGAGAGCGGAATATAAGGCAGGAGACGAGCCCAGGGCAGTCTGAGGATTTGTAGAGACAGGATCGCCCCTTTGGTTTGAGCATAGGTAGAGGTAAGAATTCTAGTGGCTGGCTGCTCTGCTTCTCTAATCTTCAGCGTTAACCTTATATCTGACTCTGAGTTTTTATTATTAAAATCAATTAGAATTTGTGCTACTCGGGAGGAATTCTGTTCCCTCAGACAATGACTATCGCTGTTACTAAAGATAGTTCTAACTAAATCTCTTATCATTCTAATAAAACTCAAGATTCAAAGGCTAGGGTGAAAACCTGCAAGCTCAGAGAATTGGAATAGCAAATGGCTAACTTTCTCTCTTTGCTAGTGCCTCTGGAAGTCACTCCCTTCCATGGTGCCCCAACTAAAAAACCCCACGCTAAGCTCCTCCCTGCCACTTCCTGTCAACCAGTTGCGAATTCTGCCTCTGAGCCCAGGTTAATTTCTTTAATTAACGCAAATGCACCACATCTTTACAACACAAGCAAATGTAATAATCCTTACATCATTACTATTCTGCAGCATAAACAAATGTAACACATCTTTGCCTAGTTAAAACAATATTCCCCAACCACAATGGTCATGGACTCTAACCCTCTGAAACTATAAGTCTCAGTGGCTCCCGAAAGTTTTCTTGGCTGTGGTGTCTCTTCACCGCAATAGAAAGGTAACTGAGGAAGAGAGCCCATCTCTTTCAGGCATCCTGCAGACCAGCGATGGGCTCTT